TCAACCACATTCCACATGAAGGGTGGCTGCTGCTGTCGATTTGGTGAACAATAATGCAGTGTTACCTCAAAAACTCCCCTAAACCGTACATTGGGGTATATCTTCAAAATGAACATCAACTGAAAGTTTACATACACGGTACACCTGCGATTTGCCGATGACATAGTCGTCATGGCAGACACTGCAGGATTTGAAGGAAATGCTAAACAGCCTAGGTGATTGTTCAAGACTGGTGGTGGGTCCGGGATGAATCTCAACAAGACCAAAATCACGTATGTATCTCCGAAACCAGTGAACGTGAATGGCCTCTGTTCTTGAAGTTGTGCAGGGATACGTATATCTTGGCCGAACTATAGATCTCGGCCGGCATAACTTTGATCAAATGAACTTGAATCGAAGAAGTTTAGGCAAACGACGCTCTGTAGCACGTTGAACAAATGACCAAAAAAGGTGGCGGCTAGCGGATGGATGCAAGCTGCTTAGGACCGGGACGGTTGGTGCTTATTGGGATTTGGGGGAGGGAGGCCTTCGGTCAGTAGTGGACTCAGACAGGTTGATTGATTGATTGATCCAGAAACACCCCATAAGCTTATGTGAACTCATTTTTTTCCACTTCGCAGTTACATACTTCAGAAAGATTTAACTCTAGAATTGTTTATTGGTTCACATGGTAGACGTTATGTGCGTGTTTCATGTGAACCAAACCAAATTTCAGCAATATTGCTTTCTGATGAGTAAAATTACTGTGACTTATGGGCATGACGAAATTATAAGGGTTTTTCCATACTTGCCTTTTGGCTAATGGACCTTAATAAAAAATACTTAGGGGGCGGCATCTTAAAATTTTATATCTTATTGAGAAAATCTACTGCACGGCCCTGATGCAATTTACATTTGAGATTTTTACTTTAGCTCTAGCTTCTTGTTGAATAATTACATTTGACAGTAATAAGCAATGTTACATTAACAATAATATATACAAAATTTAATACACTATTAAAACTCATCTACATAGTGGAACTTAAAAGAGCTCAAATTGACTAAGTGATATGTTGTAGGGCCAAATATTTGTGTTGTGGTTGCCTGGCAAAGTGCTTACAGTTGAACATCGTTGAATATAACTCATCAAAAGATAATGATGTGGTTGTGATCATGCCTAGTGTCAGTATGAAGTATTATACATAATTTTACAAGTTCACATATTAATGTTTTACAGAGAAAAGTAGTGAATTTCAATGAAATTAGGATATTTCTATTCTACTTTTTAAATTCTACATAAAATATAATTAGTAATCACATTTAAAAAATTAAATCAATGAAATGAATATACATAACGTATATCTTTAAAGGATTACGTCAACATATTCAATTGAAAAGTAGTCCCATAGTTTTCATTTATTATATTTAATATTTTTAAATTATTATTTATTATTATTGGAGAATTATTTAAATTCTAATCAATCATAAAATTAAAAAATTATGTACTCAAAAAACGATTTTATTTTCTCTACTACTGTAGGTAGCTTATTTGGATACATATTCCAATAAGTAAATGTGATTATAAATAATTTAATAAAAAAATGATATATATTTTAAATTAATTGAATATAACTTTGAAAACTATTATACTACGTTACTATCATTTAAATTTTTATTTACAATAAATAAGTACCAATATAAAAATAAATGGCACTAGAATTTAAAAATTATGAAATTGTTTCCAGAGAACTGTTCATTTTTAAGTAAAGTATGTTATGATTTTAACTTTATGAATTTGTTTTGACAAGATTTCTTTGTAAATTTTTATACTGAACCAGAATTAGTCAACTCGATAATTATAACTTGCTGCTAATACGTAGTGGCTAGTTCTATTAAACCTCAGCATTTGTCCGATATATCTTGAAATAACTTTATATATTTTATTAATAAACAATCTATATACTCAACCATGTTGTATTTCATAATACGTACCTATACAATACAAAAATATTTAGATAAAAGTAAGCAGATTGTAATAGTGGGCGGCTTATAATGGAATAAACTTACCTGTTTACAGAGTATTGGTTAAGTTCTCCTTAATACTATAAAAACATTAGGAATTATTTGATATATGTACAAAAATTTGCAAGAATTCCGTTACACCACGTCACTAACTATTTTATTGTCGCATAAAGATAGAATAGATAGATATTCTCTTTACACTTTTCTGCCATTTTGAAATTTTGACTAGTTGCCAGTATATATAAATTTTAAAATATTTTATATGTTGCTATATTAAAAAAATCTATTTAAATATTACAACTAATATTTATGAATAATAAATATTATGATCAGTAGGGTAGATAACAATAATATTTATTATTATGAATTTTAATTTATATTAAATATTATGAATAACATAAAATATTATGAATTTAACATTTTTCATTCGTTTACAAGTAAATATTTAAGTAGCATTAATTGGTGGTTAATATTAGGTTCTATCCAAGAATTGCCTTTTGGCTAATGAAACATAAAAGTAGAGCCATGTAAATTATCCATGCGATATTAAAATTTAGAACAGCAATGATCGCAGTGGCGTAGCCCACAAGCAAACCTCTTATTGGACTAACTAAAATTATCCTGCCTTTGGAAACTACGAATAAATAATAAGTCTTTTTATTCGTAGCTTGGAAAGTCAATATAATACATTGCAATACGACTTTAATTACATATATTATAGAAACACTTTTTAAAGAATACATGATAATTCCCAACATGCAAAGATGGAAAGCCAGTGAAACTGCAAGAAAATATGGTACAGATCCATATGTTAAACAAAAAAAGGCAATTTAAAAACATTTTAATGAATTAGCTTCTGATTACCGATTTCGAAACGGGGAAGAAATATTTAAAATTACTATTTTCAATAATATATCTAGATACGATAATAGCTCAACTAAGTGCACTTCTGCTGGTATAAGTGCAGTCAATCAAATATTACATTTTCCAACACCAACATTTTTATTGGATGTAGATAAAACAACTTTATTACAAAAGTGTGACCAATTACGAAGTAAATATTCTGATATAATAGTCCTCAACTTTTCCCTTCAATTTCTTAATATTTACAACTTACCTCTAACTGAATCAACTTATAAGGCATGGACTATTTACCAATTCTGTAAAGAAATAATGAGAAAATATGGAGTGCGACCAGAAGTATTTACAGCACTGTCTGCAGAAGCTCGACTCCGACATTTATCGTTAATAGCAATCCAAAACTGAAAACAAAGCCGCGTCAAGCCTAAATTTAACCGAAGTCATTGATATTTTTGCGAAAACTAAGGCTAGGAACAGATTATGAACTAAATTGTTATTTTATTGTTCGTATACACATCAGTAGGTATAGTAGGTAGGTCCGACTTTCATTTAATAACTGGAAGAGATCCCATAAAGAGATAAGTTTGCCTTTGTACATTACTTATATATTTATAAATTGTTTTTAACGTTTTATATTGTACATTATAGTGTTTTAAATACATACGTACATAAACCTTTTAATTTACTTCGTTTTATTGCTTAATAAAGCTCACTCATAAGACATTCGTGAACATTCATGTAGTAAATAGCTTTAGATGATAAAGTAGCTATGCACCTTTTAAAGTACCTATTTAATATATATATTGACTTGATAAAACCTAAAAGTTAGGGCCCCAGTATTTTTACACCAGGGCCTTTGGTTACCTATAGCTATTAGCTACGCCTCTGAATGCGTCGTCTTTGGATATTAGCAGTCACGGAGACCGAAAATTTTGATGTATGGTGTAAGTAGTGTGCTGACTTCATCATTTAAACGAGTAGGTAATAATAAAAATAATATATAAAAACGAGTTCATTTCACATTATATATTTTTTAGTATTTTAAGACTGCTGGTTATTTTAAACAATAAACATTCGTTAGCTAACGACAGGTTCAAAGGAATTTAATAAAATTGTGGGTCTATTTCAAGAGAGAAAGTGATTCTCTTTTTGCCACAAGATGGCTTGATTCCCTTTACATATTATGTAAATCGGCTAAATTCTAAAACGTAAACTAACATTCATCGAACTTCTTGATCGTGGTCCGAACTTCTAATCACTAAAATCTACAAACCTATTCTCTTGGGAGCTTCATTTCCTCTCTGTCTAGGTAGTCTTCTGCCCGCCATTCTTATGATTATTATAAGAATATCTGTGAGATTTGTTCTTACCTCTTAACATTAAAATTAAATTAATAGGAACATACGATATTCGCTAGCGATTTCTCTTTCCTGAATACTAGAATATGTTTAGTATATAAAAGGAAAATAAAAGACATGATATTTATATATTATAATAGAACAATGCCCTAAGTTGTAAAGTTACTTCTCTTTATTATTGGTTAAAAAAATACAATAAAAATATTTTTTTAATAAATAAAATGCATATACTTTGTACATAACACCATAACTTTATATTTTATTTACTTTGAGATTTTAAGTTCTAATAAATATTCGTTAAACAATAATACTTTGCGAAGCCTATTTTATTCTAACAAATATTACAACAACTATTAATAAACTTCTTTGGATAAGCATAAATTATGAGATTTCTAGAATGAAAAGATCTATTATGATAGTAGCATAAAATGCATATAAATACAATTGTTACATATTCATAGTTCTGATTACTTAAAATATTTTCATATAATAGAAGGATTCTAGTTTTAATATAATAATATAACATGAGTATTCAATGTTTTTTTTTAAATAGTGTGTCATAAAACATTTGATGACAGCAAATATTCGTACTCACAGAGTGTGATATATATGTTAGGTAATTTTTCTTCATTCTACTTGACATTGGCGAAATAATCTGTGCTCAAATGAAATGCTTTGAAGCCATTAACAAGAAAATTGAATTGAAATATGTAGTTTAGATAATTCATTATATCGACATTGAATGTAACTACTATATTAAACTAATGACATTTTTTATTAGTATACAACTTGTTTTACTCCTTCACAATTCCCATTCTGCTTGATGTGTAGTTTTTGTGTTTCCTTCACCAAAGAAAGTTCTTTTTGCTCTTTACGTGAATTTCGCCCTTCAAATTCAAGTCTGTGACGAATAATTCGTTGCACTATATCTTCTGTTGTCATTGTATTGCCAGAGTTCAATGTCTGCGAGATCATCAAAATAACAATTAAAATCTATTTTAGGAAATTTAAAATGTATTGTAAAACAAAACATTATTTGGGATGTGACGATGCACAGCATCTGTGAGAGGGCGTTGTATACTTCCCTTTTATTAGCCAATCACTTACGACTTCCTCTTGATATTTTCGACCAATCAACGCCTTGCTTGAAATCACGTGGTCCCAGGTGGAAGGGCGCCAAAGGCGAACGTTCTTACCTCATAGCGTCGTTATTTCCCGATCGAGTAACATCGTTTCTTAATAAGTGTTAAAAAGTGAAAAATAGGAAAAAAATATTTTAAATAAGAGTGAAAAAGTGTCTTTGTGTTTAGTTTTAAAGCATTATCATATCTAAATATTGTTAAAATAAGTGAGTGATGAGTGATCATAATCAGTGCAGTGGCGTAAGCTTTGATCAGGATAATCCTGACGAAATGGAGGTAGGCATGCAAATGCCTTCATCTGGTCGCAAGCGCCTGTATTCGAGCGGAAGTTCGAGTTCCTCTCAATCTCAACTCATCCGATTTAGAGGTAAAAAGGCGGAGAACGGGTGAGTAGGCTTCAGACATTAATAAACTCGTCAATCAAGTATCTATTTTGACTAATATTTTAATGCAAAATATGTGCGCATCAAATGTTACTGCTAACAAAAGTGTAACGGCAATAAGTGACGTTCAATCGAGTGGGCTACCCGTATCAGAGCCAACGCCGGGGCCTAGCACGTCATGTTTAAATTTTAATTTAACACGGCCTGCGGTCGTTCATGAGAGCTTCGTTAATAACATTCCCCGTTTAAATTTGGGTGTTGTCAATACATCCTCTAAGGAACCTAAAGTACCTAAAGCTAATTCAGAACATTTGCACCGGCTTGAGGTTTTACAAAGATTCGGTGATACAGCTTGGAAAGATGTTCGGTATAATGATGTGTTAAAAATCCATAACGCCGCGCCTGGCTTCGTTGAGCTACAAATTAATGATGATCTCAGGCAATTTATTAAAGGCAAAGATTACGTAGCAAGTTCTGAAAGATTAATAGCTGCTTTATCCAATGCATTGATCTCTCAGCGAGAGGTTCTCAATCATTGTTTGCAGCAATTTATTGATTGGACAGCTTTACCTGACAGTACGCTGTCGCCTTCAAATATTTACGATAAAATATCTAAGTGTTTCCTACCCTCATCTAAATTTCATAAAATTAGTGAGGAGATTATGCAATTAGTGTGCAGGAAACGGGCGGAATATATTGAAACTCGTAGGGAGCGTATCCTTAGTGAGATTTCAAACAATAATTTGCGTGAGGGTCTGCGTAAGGTTCCTCCGAGTTCTAGCTTTTTATTTGACGAAACTCTACTGCGGTCCTATATTCAGAATACGGGCGGATCGGATAAATGGCTTCAACCTTGGTTTTCTTCTGAGAAGAGCCAGGCTGCCAATAGTCGTAAAGCGCCTAGCAAGCCAGTTCAGCACAATTTTCGAGACTTATCAAATCAGCCCTTTCGTCAAAAAGCTAGCGAGTCAAGTTATCGGAAAAACCATAGCACAAGCTCATTCAAGCAGAACACTAAGAGCAAGAAATCCCAAGGTAAAGTCAATAGACGAACCAAGGGGCAACCTGATAAATGAATCGCAACCAATTCGCCAAACATTTTACGGGGGCTGTCTCAGAGCGTATCTGAGACAGTGGCAGATGCTTCGGGCTCCGAAAGCCCTTCTCGAATTGATTACGGGAATGCGTCTGCCATTTACCTCCAAGCCACCACTCATTCTTCCTTCAATAAGAATGATGAAGCGGTTCGAGACCGCTTATACGCCAGAAATGTCAATTCAGATCAAGCAGCTATTACAACAAGGCGTTCTAGAAGTTGTGAAGCCACAGGATGTGGGTCCAAGTTTTCTTTCTACAATGTTCTTGACAAAAAAGAGCAATGGATCCAAAAGGCCAATATTCAATTTAAAGCGACTAAATTGTTTTATAATTCCAAAAACCTTCAAACTGATATCACACTTTCAAGTTCCTCACTTTCTACAAAGGGAAGACTGGATGGTGAAATTGGACCTGTCCTCAGCTTATTTCCATGTGAACGTCACAAGGAGTCATCGGCGGTTTCTGAGGCTTGTTTACGACAACGTGATTATGCAAATGACATGCCTCCCGTTCGGACTATCATGTGCGCCCAAGGTCTTCTCAGCTCTAAGGAACTGGGTACCTGCGATCCAAGGGCATGCGAGTCATAGTTTACTTGGACGATTTTTTAATCGCATGTCAGTCGAAAAGTCAACTTCAAAGCCATGTAAGATCGGCAATCAGTGTTTTGGAGAACTTAGGATGGACAATAAACTACGACAAATCCAAAATCGAGCCAGTTCAAAAAATAGAATATTTAGGGTTAGTTTGGGACACCAAAGCCAACTACGAAAGCTTACCAACCAAAAAGATCCAGAAGTTATTACTGATATTGAAGAGGATAGTACGGAGACTGAAAATGTCATTAAAGGAGGCTCAAATAATATTAGGAACTCTAACTTTGCCTGTTTCGTTGTACCAAGAGGTCGTCTTCATTGCCGTCAACTGCAAATACATTTACGAAATCTGATGCACCTCCCATCCAACCGCAAACCAGTAGAAGTAACATCTGTTGTCATGAGAGATCTCAGGTGGTGGATTACTACTCTGCAGAGTCCAATAGTTCGGAGCAGCCTGCATTGTCAGTTAATTCAACACTTTTTGACAACAGATGCAGCGGATTACGGGTGGGGGGCACAATTGGACGACCAGTTCATATCAGGAGGATGTACGCGAGCCCAACGTCACTGGCATTCCAATCGGAAAGAGATGTTTGCCTTAATAGCAGCCGTAAAACATTTTTGAAATGAAACCATGGTCGTCATTTGAATTTCCAATCGGACAATCGAACAGTGATATCTTATGTTCGAAGAGAAGGAGGAACACGATCGACAGCGTTGATCCATATGACTTATCAACTCTTGGATTTGATAGACAAAGAAGAAATTTTATTAACAGCAGAGTACATTCCCGGGAAATTCAACAGTATTGCAGACAGCTTATCCCGCGGGAAAAGGATTTCGGAATGGCATCTTTTACGACTAGCTCTCGTCAATATATTCCGAAAGTTTGGGATTCTCCAAATAGATCTCTTTGCAAGCAAGGAAACGAGAGTTGTGGAGCAATATGTTACCAAAGATTGTCTGGACTCTTCAGCACAATTTTGCAACGCATTCAGTCGTCAGTGGCAATACCAGCTGGCATGGGTGTTCCCACCACCAAGCTTAATACCTCGAGTTCTGCACCACTTAAACGCTGCTCGAGGAACATTTCTTTTAGTAGCCCCAATGTGGAAGAGAGCTTATTGGCTACCAGATCTCCGTCGACGAGCGCTGGCCAGACCAATGAAAATAACCAAGCTGGACCAAGTGCTAATAGATCAGATAACCGGCCTCCCACCGCCTCGGGTTCAGAACATGGTCTGGAAGATAGCAGCTGGGGCGAGGTAACTAAAGCTTGGTCAGAAGCCGAAAAATCGCTTCTGAGAGCTGGCTGGAGAGAATCAACATTAAAAACTTATGGACCAGCATGGTCCCGATGGATGAAATGGTGTAAAAATAATAGTTTTGATTGCAACTTTCCTTGTGATGTTAGTCTCTCGAGATTCTTAGCATATCTTCACCTTGAAGAGAGATTAGCTTATCCGACTATATTGTTGCATAAGTCAGTAGTTTTATCTTTTGGGCAAGTCAAACACAATGAAAATTTGAATTCTAACTTTCTCGTTCGACATATTCTTAAAGCTATCTCTCTTCAAAGTCTAAAGTTACAGAGATCACCCATTTGGGACCCAAGTGACCTATTGCCTGGCTGGAGCTAAATCCCCCGAACAATATCAGTTTGTTTGAAGCTTCCCGTCGCTGTGCATGTCTTTTGTTATTAGCATCTGGTAGACGCGTTCACGATCTTACTTTACTCAGAATATCTAATGACTGTTACTTTGACAATGACAGTCATATTATCCTTTATCCTGTATTTGGGTCAAAAACAGACACAGCTACATACAGGCAATCAGGTTGGAAGCTCTCTCGTCATAGCAATGAGAATATATGCCCAGTTAGATGGTTAAGAAAAGTAGTTGAGTTAGACAAGACGAGGCGTACAGCCGAATGTAATGAGTCCTTGTTTGTGTCGATTAGAGGTATCATGCAAAGTGCGTCGCGTACTGTTATTGGTAACTGGATTAAAACTGTTTTGAAAGACGCAGGCATTACGGCTTCTCCAGGCAGTTTGCGTTCGGCTGTAGCTTCTTTAAATAGGGTTAACAATTTTCTAATAGAAGAAATTATTACCCGTGGTAATTGGCAAAATAAAAATACATTTGCTAAATATTATTATAAGCAAATCATAAGCAGAGCTAAAAGTCAATGTGTAGAGAGTTTTTCGAATAATTTTGAGCCAGTTTGATTTATTTCGCTAATTGTGGCTAAGAAGTCGAGTATAATAGAATCATTTATATTATTGCTGAATTATTGTGATTCTGATTTATAATAAAACGGTGTTACTCATGTGTTTTTTGTTCTTGCAGCCTTTGTGCATCTAATTTAGTTTTCTTCCTCACATAGCGTCATTGTGGTCACCAGGAGTTATAAACACATCTCTCACAGATGCTGTGCATCGTCACATCCCAAATAATAGTACAAGTTTTACAAAACAATAAAACTTGTATTATTAAGGAGAGACGATGCACAGCATCCATTCAAGTTCTCCTGGTGAGAGACTTCTATGAGGTAAGAACGTTCGCCTTTGTCGCCCTGCCACCTGGGACCACGTGATTTCAAGCAAGGCGTTGATTGGTCGAAAATATCAAGAGGAAGTCGTAAGTGATTGGCTAATAAAAGGGAAGTATACAACGCCCTCTCACAGATGCTGTGCATCGTCTCTCCTTAATAATACAAGTTTTATTGTTTTGTAAAACTTGTACTATTTTTGGGTAATAGCTTTGGAAACATGAAAATAACTAAAATATTAAATGTATATATGGATTTGAAATGGCTAACACTTCAATTTTATTTACGAGTATTAGCATGAAGTATAATTTATCGATTATGATATATCTAATGTAGCTTGACCAACACTTAATACTTTATCCTTCTAAGTTTAAGCCTCATATACTTATAAAAAAGTGTCTGTGCAATTCATACACGGTAAAAGTGAAACTTCAAAAAAGTTACGTACGAGAGAAAAAGATGATTATTAGGATAAAATAGAGGATTATTGTAAGGTTTTTTTTTATATTTTACCAAGTTTAAAAGTTATTTTACATATTTAACATATATTCAGTATTATTTTTATTATTTTTCACTTCCTGTATTCAGTATTCCTGTACTTAATGTATTCTATCTCATTCTCTCGCCGGATTAATCTAATATCGACGTAGGAAAGCATATTTGCTGTAAGTAGACATATTGCAATTGTTCACCAGAGCCAAAAAACTTTATTAATTTCGGAAAAAAATTAATAGTGTCTGACCTATTCATGATGTTGCTACTACTTTTGGAACATAGGTTCATTTAACTGCCAGTCACCATTTGCAATGTAAACTTTTTATCCAAAGTTACTATAAGTACGTGTTTGGCTAGTTACAGCAAACAGTTTTTTAAATCACATACGTTTAAAATGCTGTAACTAAGGAAGAAAAATGTACGCGTAGATGGAAATATCAATTTACAGGCGGTAAATATGCTGTATGCAGTAAATTTATTTACTTGGGTACTGCAATTCATAATGTAAGATTAAATTTATAATTATGATTAGATCTAGAAATGCAGTGGGTCAGTTGGTAATGTAATGTTTGTTTTAAATAAAATGTCGTAAATGGTAAAAAAAATTTATGGTCTTTTAAATTGTTGAAACAAAATTAGAAACTCTAATTATATTGCCAGAACTTCGTTTCAATAATACAATGAATTAAAAAAGTATTTTTCTCTTATATATAGGAGATAAAACATAATGAGACAATAACAGAATGTCGTACAAGGAATGAAGGGGGCGGGCGGAGCCGGTAGCGATGCGGTAACACCGACACAACTTCAAAGTACTATCATTTTTTCAATGGCGTAACGGTAAAATGAAATGATAAATGATTTATCAAAATGCATTATCTCAAATTTCTCAAAAATCACAGGTTTTTAAAATGTATTATGTGGTGTGAGCTTTTAAAGCAAATACGTGATGATTTGCTGTAAATAACAAAAACTGTAGGTTCCCTAAACTTGCTGTAAGTAAACGAATGTAAAAATCACACGCCGCAGAAATAATGCTGTAAGTAGCGTTGAGTTTTTAAATGGGAAGAAGTAAGTATTTGTAAAGCAAAATATGCAGTCTTTCTTTTGCTGTAAGTACAAAATGTCTAAAATGACTAGATTCTGGTCTACATACAGCATTTAATCTTGCTAAAAAAATATAAGTACGGGCGTTTTCAACGGCGTACGTAATTTTTTTTTCATCGTAGAGACACAGGACCCGGGACATTCAATGCGGCTTTTTTTTCTGATTCTAATGGTGGTAAAAAGTCACTTTAGGTATTTTGTCTACTTACAGCAAATATGCTTTCCTACGTCCATATATTTCTACTTACAGCAAATATGCTTTCCTACGTCCATATATTTATGTGTTTATCTCTTTGTCGTGACGCATTTTCATCGAGTTTCAAATCACAACGATTCTAAAGTAGTTTCACTTCAAAAAGATATACAGCACACGTATAGAAAAGTGTTCAATGAAGTGAAGCATCGTGTTTAAGGTTGTTGCGTGACCTTGTGACGCATACACATAACATTGCTGTGTGCTAAGTAAAAAATATTACCTCTGAAAACTATTTACCTTCAATTTTGCATAGAACAATTGTGCAAGATTTATAAATAAAACGCATTTTATTACGATAATACAATGCAAATGTTGTGACGTCGCGTCGAAGCATTTGACATATTTAGTTACTAATATTCGTATCGCAATGAAATGCGATCGGTTTTATTTTAATTTCAACTTCCTTCACCCAGCCTCATTTTAAGAACACCCTCCTTTTTTAATTTTTTTAATTCCTCTGAGGTTTAGGCGTTAAAATTCCCGTACAAAAATGTTTAGCCAATAATTATATTAAAATTTTATATAAAACCTTTATAAACATCTAAGACCTAAGTTATCGTCTTACCGTCGCTTCGCTCGGATTCGTCCCTCGGTACTTATCAAAAGCCGATAAAGTAACTTAATGACTTATTTTTCCGATTTTAATAAAAATAATGATTTCTAACAGTAATAAATAAATAAATTTCATGTGCGAATCATTTCCAACATGATTATCACTTGTCTTAGCTTAGCGGTGAAGGAAAACATCGTTAGGAAACCTGCATGTCTGAGAGAACTTAGCAAGTTTTCAAAAGATATGTGAAGTCCGCCAACCCGCACTTGGCCAGCATGGTGGACTATGGCCTGATTCCTCTCATATTGAAGGAAGGCTCACCCCCAGCAGTGGGACATTAAGAAGAGCTGAATACATACATACAACAATATTCGTGTAGATACCTTAAAACATCCCCGTTGCTTGGGCACCATGTAGGGGTCGCGGCCGTCGACGTCCAGCGCGATGCTAGTGACGCCGTGACACACCACCTCCACGCGGAAGTGGTCCATCAGCTCCGCGGTCACGCTGTACGGCGCTCCTATTACCACCTCGTGCACGTACTGGAGAGAAAAATAGTATTGTATTTTATTAATCGTATTACTTTTAGCTTAGTTTTGCGCTATCAAAGACTCGCGGGACTGGACTCGCCAATTGACGAAATTATATTTTTTCACAATTTCAATTTGCCAAAAGAACCTTCCCAAAATTCGTCGCCAGCTTTCGGGCTATTACAAGGTTTACAGTTATTAAATACTTTTTGGATATATACTCGTGAGCAAAAAAATCGACTCAGACGACACATCTGTAGTCGCAAGTCACTGGAAAAAAAACTGAAAGCAAATATTTTTTTTTCATAATAAAATCTTAAAGCTGCTAGTATTAGCTTCAAAATGATATAAAATATTGTAAGGCTTTTTGCTCACACAACCCATCAATATGTTGTGATCAGTAACCACCCTTTTTACGCTTGTTTACAAGAGTGCTAATTAAGGGTTACTGACCCATATAAAAGGTTATCTACCTGACCCACCCTTATCAGTTAGCCGTCAAACGTCCATCGATACACATCTCCGTTATCAACAATCAAGAATTCTACCTGAAAATGGACACAACAAGCGATTTAGCAGCTCAAGCTTCACCCTATTGCGACAAGGCCAGAGTCAGCGTGAAGTGGTACGTGCACTGAACATGAGCCAGTCTGCTGTTTCCAGAGTTTACCGTCGTTACCAAGAGACTGGTGGCTTTAATCGAAGACGCGGTTCCGGTAGAAAAAGGTGCACATCAAAGAGAGATGACCGATTTATTGTCAGCACATCGTTAAGAAATCGGGCCCTCACTGGCGTTCAAGTCCAACAAGAGCTCAGAGAAACGTGAGGAGTAGCTGTGAGTGGCTGGACAGTCAGAAGACGACTTAAGGCAGCTAGGCTTGAGCCAAAAAGGCCAGCTACTGGCCCCAAATTAACCCCAGACCACCGAGCAGCCCGCCTACATTTTGCTAGAGAACATGTTGATTGGACTGACTAACAATGGAGCACCGTTCTCTTCTCAGACGAAAGTAGAGTGTGCTTGCATGGTAGTGATAGAAGAGGACGAGTCTACAGAAGACCTGGGGAAAGATTCGCGCAGTGCTGTATCAAAGAAAATGTTGCTTTTAGAGGAGGTTCCTGGATGATGTGGGCCGGCATTTCAAGCGAGGCAAAAACCGAGTTGGTTTTTATTGAAACTGGCGGTCGAATGGGAGGATTGACATCGATCCGATACATCGAAGAGATTTTAGAGGATCACGTCATTCCCTACGCCGGTTTCATTGGCGAAAACTTCGTCCTAATGCACGACAATGCCCGTCCACATACTGCAAGTTCCGTCCGGCAGTATTTACAGGAGGTCGCAATTGCCGCTATGGACTGGCCAGCGCGTAGCCCGGACTTAAATCCTATCGAGCATTTGTGGGATGATCTTAAAAGAAAAGTTCGGGCTAGAAATCCTGCACCAGACACGATGGCGGACCTCAAAGCAGCGCTAATCGACGAATGGAATAGCATCGAACAAGATCGAGTAAGGAAACTTATTCGATCCATGAAAAAGCGATTGGAAGCTGTTATTAGGGCCAGGGGGGGCAACACTAAATATTAAAAAAATAATTTTAATTAAATTATTGTTTTGACGAATTTTTCGTGGTATTTTCTTTACCGTCAACCATAACTTTATTTATTGCTTAAGACTCCATCTCATTCAATATTTTTTCTTTACCAGAAAACATTTTTTAATAACAACATAGACCACTCATTTTAAAGCTAAAACAAAGAACTTTGAGATGTTAAGATCAGAAACATAATAAAAGCTTCCGATTTTTTGCTAGAGCTTTTTAACCGCAAGCGTGCGTCCTGAGTCGATTTTTTTGCTCACGAGTGTAGTTAATACATATATGTTAGATATATTAAGTTATCCAGTATTTATCGATAATAATTAATTTAATTATACTATATGAGGTTATTCACTCTCTGCATCAGCCCTTCATCTCAGGTAGGTACCGCGGGAGATTTATCCATGGTGTTACAAGGGTTTTAAAGCAGAACGTATTTACTACAATAATTGTGGTCGAGAATATATATTTATTTTAATCCTACTACACATTTTCAAATGAAGGGCCTTTCAGAGGTAAATATGCTACTGTTATCAATTAACAATCGTCATCAGATTCTCATTTTTTGAAGAAATAAGTTATAATTTCTTGTAATTAAAATTGAAAAACCGAAGAATTTAAGAGCATTACCTTGCATGCGAGTACCGAGAGCACACGCTCGTGTAAGTTCATAATGGGATAATTAGAGCCTTTGTAACGGTTCACTTCGAGGTCCGTGTGTAGCCCCACTATTAAAAAGTCACCTTGCGAGTGCGCCGCTTCTAAGAAATCTAAATGGCCGACATGGAAGAGGTCAAAAGCTCCTGCTACGTACACTACCTGAAAAACAAAACAATATTTCTGAACTAAAATGGTAAAATTGAAACAGATACTTATAATTTACTTAAACACGGGCTTACCCTCAATTCGAGGGGTTCAGACAATAATCAACCACGATTTGGAAAACTAGTTAGTATTATGTACTTATTAGTAAGGTATATAAATACAGGTTTCGCCACGATGTTGTTACGGTAATGTTATAATATACAGTATTCCATCTTCATACAAACGGTCAGAAAGCGAGTTATACCTACCTACGCGTAGTATACACTCGTTAGACAACGGTCCAGGGCTGCCCGATCGTATAATTAGATACGAAAATTGTATAAAATGGTTATGTTACATAATTTTTATAATTTGATACAAAAATAAACATTTCATTCCTCCCGTAACTTCGCTAATGTCAAACAAAAAAGTGTCGAGACATCCAATAATGCTTTAATAATAAAAATTAGTTAAAAAATTAAATATTATAATAGTACCTATGTATAATGAAACTTTTTATCCGAATGTGAATTATTTATATTATTAAATTTAACTATAAAGCTTTTAGTACGTCTCAGTCGAGGTGCGGCGCAAATATTTTTCAATCTCAAATCTATAAGGGTTACTCTTATACATTTGAGATATTTTAATTAACACCTCCAGGTTAATTTCTAAGAAATTAATTAAATTTCTAAGAAATCTATTGTTAACTGTAACGCCGGCGTGTCAGCGGTCGTGAAGGGATTAAATTTACTAATCAAAAAACACATCCTATTTCATTTACTACGAATTTTATTTTTTTAAATAAAAAATATAATATTTGCAATGACAAAACTAGAAAGAAACTCAAGTAGATGAAATTAAAATACTGTAGGCGGGCAGCCCTGTCGCGTGGTTACGTATCGCGCTGCTGTAGGTAATTATTTCAAGGACAGGGCCGAGTCACAATACTGTATACATAACATTACCGTGATGTTGTCCTTCACCGTAAAGCAAGTTGTAATCAAATTGAAAAAGATTCCCACATGAAAACTTCAGAGGTGTGACATTCGGAACTTGAACCTACTTCACTTGGTTTTTCAGCGCGTTACCACTGGGCTACCACTGCCACTACATGTCTGCCTACAACAAAACAACGCCGATCTAGTCCTACTATTATAACTAATTAGGTCGTATCCTATTATTATAATATTATAAATATTATTTATAACACTATCCAATATGTTACAGGCAGGGTTAAAATTAATCGATGGCTTACAACAAAATTACTTTTTTTATGTTTCTAATTTTATTATAACTCCACGAAGATGTAGTCGCTGGATTAATAAGTTTTTATATAAGTTTTGTTTTTCGTGGCGAAGTTCAAGTTCGTTTTTCTATTCAATAGTAATTCTTTACCTCCTAAAAAATTACTATATACCAACCTAAGTTTGTTTTTAATTATTTTTAAATAGTTTTGTATTTTCGTTATTAATATTTATTTTAAAAGCTAATAGCTTAATTATTTTACATACATGATAGTGGATATAAAAATTGAGTACTATAAGATAATTCTTATAGTATTCTAATGAATATCGTTGAAATTGACGCGAAGGTCGAGCAAATGTTGTTACAAAATATTAAATAACCAATAACCTTAAGAATAATTATGTCAGTCATCAGTATATAAAAAAAACTCTGTTATTGACCGATTTCAATAAAAAGGAGGTACTAAATTCGGCTAATTTTTTATGGTATGTTACGCTATATCTTCTCTAGCTTAAGTTGATTTCTTAAGGCTTTTTATTGGTCAAATCTTAAGGGCACCTACTTCCTTGTATTATATTTAACTTAAAGGGGTTGTAAAGATTAATAAATTAATAATAATACTTATAAGCTCTATAAATTAAAAGGAAAATCAACCCTTCGTAGTGAAATAATTACATTTAAGTAACTTTTGAAATGTTCCTAATTACAAGAAGTTATGAGAGTAATATTTATCAAAAACTATTATATATATTAATTAAAGTTGTTAGCATCGGTAGACTATTAAAAGTAACTATAAATACCAAAGTATATAACAATGTTTTTATCTCATTCTGGTCGTAGGTTACATAGTTTATCTTTTTGTATAGTACCAACAAAGGATACAGATTAAAACTACCACATAAAAATAGAACAACATGTATTGCATGCATTATATCCCATTGAAGTGTGCGTGGATGTTGCAATATTGAATTATAGTAAATACCACAAATACCATTAAATCTGCATCCCTAGATCTTTGATTCTGATTTATGGTCCTGTTTGGTTGGTAAATAGTGGCAAAATTATTGAAAGAACTCTTGGTGCATAAATTCAAATCGCACTTGACGAATTATTATGTTTTATTATATTACCTACTATTAATAAGTCCTTATTTATCTAATTTAAAAAAGTCTATTTCAATTTAATGTATTCGCGTTATTTCGCATCCTGGGTCCACTCCAGTGCCGTTTATCGTTTTTTTTTTCATTTTATCACCGTATCGGTGAAGGATTTAAGGATAGTAAATATCAAAGGCAATAAATAAGCTGACTACAAGAAATATAATAAATAAATAATTTAAGTTTAAAAGGAGTTTATATTTTATTGTTATAAATTTTCCTATTTTTAAGTTAAGTTTACATATAAATCATAATTATAATATTGTAATTCGATAAATGTCCAACCCCCCCCTGAAATTATATATACAACTCTTGAGATCGCGATAGGGAAGAATCAATCATCAAAATTGAATTGTATATTATTTCGATTTCGAGATAATGTCACACAATTAAAGTATGTACAAACATTTTGCTAATAACAACTCTACAAAAAAAGTGAATGGTCTTTGCCCTAAAATTTATTTTTTTATTTTTCTATTCTTTATGCTTTAAAATAAAGGAAAAATAACCATATTCCTTAAAAATTTGGCTTTTGTGGTAGTTATGATAATACTTATAAACATGAAAGAAAAACTAATAGGGTTTACTTTAAACTTTTTTCTACTATTTTGTATTTTTTTATAAAAATATGATATTAAAAGTTGATTAAAATTTATATATAAATATGTTTATTTCGATTTATTTATAAATAAAAATTTAAACTATACATTTTCTAAAATATTGATCAATCGTTCCCCTACATACAAAAGCAAACTTTTTCAGACCATATATTTTTGGTCTAATTTATCGATAAATCTATTGAAATTTCATACTCTCTTATCAAAGTCAAAATTCGTGTTAATCTATGTAATATTTTCGCATTCCAATTTCATTCTTTTTTTTTCATTTGTTATGACTTAACTGATAAGGGGTTGTGATTATAGTGTGATCAGCATCAATAAAAAGCAGATAGTTACGGCACAAATAATATCATGATTATTTTCTCGAGATAGCTTTATTTCACTATTTCCCCAAATTTTTTTGTCTTCATTATTATATTTTATAGCTATACTAGTATTTCCCGCGGCTACACCCGCGTTCAGATAACCAAAAACCAAATTCTTAGCATTTACATATTAGTATACTGTTACATTGCAGTTTTTGTATTTTTTTTCTCAGAAATGAGATGTTTTCCAGGGGTAAAAAGTATCCTATATGTTGACCCGGATAACCAGCTATGACCATACCAAATTTCATCAAAATCCTTCCAGTGGTTTCTCCGTGATGCGGTAACAGACAGACAGACAGACAAAAATTCTAAAAACCGTAGATATGGCCTCTGTATCGATAATAATGTCTATTTCAATAAAAAAAATTCAAAAAATATGTAATGTACAGATTCGGCTTAGTTACAATTTTATTATATGTATAGACTAAGGTGAATTTCAAACGAGTGTTGAGATTGAACGCTATGTGTCAGAGGCGTGATGACGTTGCGATTTTTGTAGTAGTAACTAGTAAGTTGGTCTCGGAATGTTCCATACAAGGGCGCAAAGGATTATAAGATCGAACTTAACAATTAAGGAAATATTCAATTAATATTTTTTGGTGTAATTTACATTAATCTTTGCCAATTATACCAATTGAAATGATTAGTTGTTTATTGATATACCTATCAATACCCCAAGGTCCATATAAATTAAAAAAAAAACAATTATTAAGGTGTCTGCCCACTACACCTTTAAAGGTAGAATAATTTATTTTAGAATTATTTTAAAGTCGACATACTTTTTTTATCAGTTATTTCATATCCTATCATGGTTTAACGAAAATGATTTCCTTATAATTAATAAAGATAATTTTGATTAGTTATATCATTGCATTGAATTTAAACGTGTAGATAAATTTGATAAATAAGTAGAAAGAGCAACGATGTTAGATGTACATAGAGCTTCTTATCAGACTTGCAATATTTATATTTAATTAAAATGTAAAAATAGTTCTTTTAAATGTTACAGGTTTGATCTTGACTAACCTGACCTTTTTAAGGAAACACATCTAACAAACGAAGATTTACTGAAAAAAAATCGACATCGGCCTGGAACCTGTTTTGCTTATTTCTAAAGTACATATTTGACCATCTAACCACTGTAATATTTAATGATTTAAACGAGCCATGTCTCGAATGTATCACAGGAAAGCCTAATAGACGTAATAATTTTCCCTACGCGTCACCGTAATGAAAATCGCCTCGGTCTACTTCAGATAAAGAATAGTTTCAGGAAGCGCCTTCTTACAAACAGTTCTTTTGATAATATTGTGTTTACTTGTATCTTGAAAATTTATAGAATATGGTCCTTCATAAAAAGACAAGAAAGAAAGCAAAAATAAAATACACGCTTTTAACCGATTCTAAGCTACGTTTCAAGAGTAGGCAATAAGTGAGTGAAAGATTAAACGTGAAAACGAATCAGATGTGTCCAAACTCAATTATTTTTCTATTAGGAATTTAAGAGTCCGCTCAAATTATTATATTTCTTTCTCTCTCTCTCTCTCACTTAAAGTTACAATCGATACTACACTTAGAAGTAGTCTAAAGTCGACATACAATTTTTTTTTTTTGAATCATTATTTCACTTACTCTGTCTGTTGGTTTCGGTGACAGGCCACTGCTAAATTGGATTATCTTTTGGGTAGTTGGCAAGAACTGTGAACAACCTGTATAAGGTGATCTGGCGGTTGAATCTGTTCCGAGATTCGACGAATGTTCCAGAGCTACCGAATATTCTTTGTCACCTCTCCTGAAATTTATAATATGTCTTAAGTGTCACGATTTATAAATAGATCTTAAGACTAGCTGTGCCCCGCGGTTTAACCCGCGTTAAGTTTGTTTGATTATAAATATCGCGTAAATCTAAGAAAGTATTAAATAAATATCAGTTTTACAATAATGTAAGGAAGACCCAATTTGATGACATTTATGATTACTGCTCCGCTCCCTTGGGTAGTAGCATGATGATATATAGCCTTCCTCAGTAAACGGGCTATCTAATTCAAAAGGAATTTTTCAAATCAGATTAGTAGTGCCTGAGACTACCGCGTTCAAACAAACTGCCTCTTTACAATATTAGTATAGATAATAATCGATACGATAACTGCACTTTATAATGCTCAATGAATGAAAAATGCAGGATAATGAATTTTTCAAGTGGGTAGGCTGACCAATAAACCATACTTAATCCCTCCACGACCGCGGACACGCCGGCGTTACAGTTAATTCCAATAGTATAATAAAAAATAGATTTCTTAGAAATTTAATTAATTTCTTAGAAATTTACCTGGAGGTGTTAAACGAACTAAACTAGACACTATAGGATTTACCTATTTTTTTGTCATGGGACCTGTGACGGAATCACCATTCGTCAGTCAAGACAAATCACTCTCATTGCTTACTCTTGACAAACGCAACATGTTCGTCAAATATAGGAATTTACTGAACCAGCCTTAATCCTCAATCTGCCTTTTAATCATCAAGTTCTGCTGGCCGTATTCGGGAATGAATTGCCTGTTGTTCACAACAACAACAAACTTCTACAGTGATCCATATAACATACAACACAGACGAGTGTCCCTACACACGGCGAATGACCGTAGACCGTGTGTGGACGGGGCCTGAGACTTGGCTATTAATTAATAGCGGAACCTTATTGCGACAGCGCAATGGAGCGTTGTAATAATTATAGTTTACAAATTGAAGTAGTACACAGAATTTTTTTTATTCCAGTAAACCACTCCCGTCAGATAATAGTTTAGTTCTGATCATATTAACAGATGGTGCAGTACATAATCGCGGATAGGGTCGTGGGAAAAAATTATAAAATTATTATATAATGAGCTTTTTAAATATATGTGTAAATTATTGTTGGCAAAATGGATTGAATAATTTCATTGTACTGCAAAGCGCTTTTACTTTTGTTTTATTAAATAAAATATTTTACATCAGATAATGGACCCAAAACAGTTTTCTACAAAGTGTTCGAATAATGATTAAAATGTATATGTAATGTACTTAATGATAAAAAAAAATTACTTGAAATGTTCTCTTGTAAGTAATAGCATTCTTCCAACTAAATCTGTGGTAGAGACTCCTGCAGTCCTTTTAACTTCCCTAAAAAAATATTTACTAAAATTAATAATATAAATAGCATTTAAATTTATTTTCGTAATTTATTGTATTCAAAAATTATAATGTTGAAAATAAATGTAAAGAATAAAAATTATCATTATTATCATAGCTTATGATAATAACAACAATTTAAACTTTTTGCATTATTGCATCATCTCACTCTTTTTTTTGATGGGACACCCCAACAAAAAAAAATAGTTGTAAAAAAAAGAAAAAATAGAGTACTAGTTTCATAAATTGTTCCAATATATGTAGTAGTTATAAATAACAGGTCTGTATGTAAATTATATATAAGTGAATAAGGAATAAGAACTACCTGTATCTACCAGCTTCTTTAACTAAATGATATGTGTCAACACCATCTGCTGTAACTGTGATATCATCTGAAATATAAAAGATAGATATAAAATGTAGATAGAATAAAATACAGAAAGTTATATTGTAATATTAAGATATTTGTTTACTAATTTATTTGTACATTTAGAGAATCTATTACATTATTAATATTACAACTCAGTGGTATAACATATATTAGCTTCTTATATTATAGCTATCAGAATTAAAAAGTTTAATCCATATCCCACCTCCATGCACACAAAAATCACATTGGTATTTATCTAAAGTTTCTAATGTAGTAACATAAGGTGCTCCCTCCACCACTTGGTCGACCCACTTGATTGCACGAACCATTTTATATCTCTCCTCCTGTGTAAATACAGGTGGCCCTTTATGTTTAGCAATTTCTTCATCTGTGTGCACTCCCACTATTAATACACCACCAAGAGCTTTTGCTTGTCTCAAAGAATTCGCATGGCCAAAATGAACCATGTCATAGCTGAAATAATAAAAATGTTTATTTGCTATATAATTATAAATTTTTGTTTTAATGTATTAAAAATATGTGTAAGTATGAATTATATGAAAGAAGTTTCTTTTTTTTATTTAAAAAAATAAAAACATTCATAATGTATTTTTTCTGTGAACTATGAGGATTTTCTTTTTAGTATTTAAGGATCAGTAATATCGAATAAAAAATGTGCCAGACTTTGAATTTCATAATAAATACATTTTAAGCTATGCATTTATTTGAAATGATATAGAAGAAAAAAATATCTATCAAAACTAGTTTTTATTTTCTAAATATTATATTTCTGGGGAACTTAAAATTATCTCCCAAAATCAGAATTATTTTATTTATGCTTAAAATTTGGTACGAACCGCTAAAAATTAATAAACGCAAAAAATATAATTTTTATTTTAGGTTTCCATTGATCATGAGTATTTAAGTCTCAGGTGTTTGTCTGTTAATAGGTAACAGGTTAAGTAAAGTAGAAGCAATTATTAAAATTTTATACTGTAAAAATCATACCATTAACCAGGATGTTAAAAAAAAACGCAATTACAGCATCCACAATTTAATTGATGCGCAAATTTCATATCGATTGATTTTAACACAAACTTATATGACATCATGCAATACATTGTATGTACGTAAATCATGAATTTGGAATCGACTAGGTACATAAAAAATTAAAATCATTGATTTACCATCCATCACACCACACACGTATTTGCTGTTTATTGTTCTTGTTGTCACTCATGATTTGAATATTTTTATACACAAAAAGATTTAGAAGTTAATATTTTTTTGTAAATCATATAATTATTAAATGATTAAGTACATTGAAATTTATGCGAATAAAATATTACTATAGCAACTGACAACACAAGTGACAGTTCGACCGGCGCACAGCGCAACAGCGCACTGAAAACTGATTGGGATAACCGATAAAGTCGTCTGTCGTAATCACATTCACACCGCTAGCCGATTCTAAAGACCGGCTGTTAACCACAGATTAGTAATTTCTAGCGAATCATCCTCGCTTCGCTTCTCTAGTCAAAAACAAATCTATTAAACGGGAACCGTACGTTTTTCCGGGATAAAAAATATCCTATATTTTATTCCAGATTATGATCTATATATGTGCCAAATTTCATACAGATCCGTTCAGCCGTTCTGGCGTGAAAAGGTGACAAACATCCATCCATCCTAACAAACTTTCACATTTATAATATTAGTATGGATTTATAATATTAGTACTAGTTTATAGTAATATGTGATCTGTGACATTAGTATGGACTATGGAGGAAATTTAACTACGAGACTGTTTACTTGTGAATACTTAGAGTTCAAACTTCAAATCGATGGTTCTGGTTTTCATTATGACATGATTCATCGTTGTCAGATCTCTATCTTATGATTCTACTTTAATGTTTTCTTTCGTATTACGTTGAATCAACGAGACGAACTGAAATCGTATTAGTATTATAAATGCGAAAGTTTGTATGTGTGCTATATATATGCTTTGTATGTATGCTTAGTTCTTACGCCTACACGCAGAAATTACTGAGCGGATTTGGATGTTTTGTAGATACCTATACAGAAAGACTTTGAACTGGAGTAACACATGTTAGGTATCTAAGCATCTAGACCGAACCCATAAGTAAGAATATGTTGCTCGGGGATATTTTATGTGAATTAAAATAATTTATTGTAACCATTTGTATGTTAGCCAAATTGTATCAGTATGTCATGTAAAATGCCCCATAAGTTAAATCAACACCTTAATACATACCTATTTAAATTGGCTCTGATTATTACTGGCAGCAAAATTAATTATAGTCATAAGATTTATAGAATATTAATTACTTTATACTTATTACACAAGTATATGTAAATAATATCTAATCGTTGGGAGTAGGCGCGAATATAATTGGCTCATAGAAGTCACGCCACTATTATGACAGATAAAGGGCGCTTTTATTAATGGTCGTGCTTTGTCTCGCTCTCCGCTGAACTCTCAATGTAAACGAGTTGCAATACTATCAGCTCATCGTACGTTTATAATTATGAGGTCAATAGCTTATGAGCTTTTTATCAGTTAACAATTAACATAGTTCTTTAAATATTATTATTCATTTACATAAAATAAAATATTTTTGGGGTAAAATTCAATACAATCCCAAATAAACAAATTAATATTTTTTTAATTAGGTCAGATTTACTTAGTATTAATCGAGCTATTATTTTATTTTTAAAATTTTGAGGTATTTCTGTAACCATTGTAATTTAAGGTTGCGCAGTAGTTAAAAATAAAAAATACTACCCAAGCGGCAGTTAGTGTGCGCAAATAATAATTCGACTCGCGATTCGCGAATGTTTGACAAACTTTTAACATAATTTGAAGCGTAGTATCAAGCATGGCACTCCGCACTACTGTGTAACAACCTTTATGTATACATATAATACGAGTTTTTTAACTATACTATATACTTTTAATGTATTTTATTTTAAAATAATTATAGAAAGCAGTTGCAAATTGTTAATAATCTAAACTATCAAAAAAATTTAAAAGAATTTATATTAACAGTACCTTTTTCTTTTTTGAAGTTATACTTCTTTTGGGGTGCTTGGAAAAAAATATGAGAGTAAAATTTTTACGATGCACTCTGACGGCAGTTCTGCTAAAACAGACCACAACAGCCACGGGGTTGGTCCAACGGTCCACTCTGCTATCACAGAAATACCAGGAGTAACGCGCATGACACACCGCCTACCGTGGTGGGTTGCCACTCGCCTCCCAGTGCTTTTCTTGGATAAATTGAGCCCGGCTGGATTGATGGTAACAGTGCCTACCAAATACTTTTAGTAACATACTTATTAGAGTTCTAGGCTAAAGACTAATAAGGAACCTGTTCGCCTGCATATTAAACACAGCTATTTTACTCGGACTTTGAGTATTATATAAGCGTATGGGGTATTTTTGGATTGTTTTCAACCGACTTCAAAAAGGAGGAGGTTCTCAATTCGACTGTATTTTTTTTATGTTTGTTACCTCAGAACTCCGTCATTTATTAACCGATTTGGACAATTTTTGTGTTGTTTGAAAGTGTATACTTCCAGATTGGTCCCATTTAAATATCAAAAAAAAAAAACCACCCCTAATGGTGGAAAAATAGCTAATGATGAATTTAACCTACTTCTAATTGTCATATTGACTTGAAACTTTGCACACTTTCTATTTCCGTTGATAGTACAGTGGTTCGGTATCGTTGAACTGATCTGATGGTAAGGCCAGAAGGTGGATAGGCGGAACTCTTCAACGGCTAATAGTAGATACTTTGAGTTTGGGCTTATTTTGTTTGATTTGACAAGCCTAACACGTTTGAATTCTTACTTTGCTACTACTGTCTACACTAAAAAGGGAAAATAAAAACTTTTTAACAAAAAAATAAAAACCGACTTCCAAACAAAAGCACTAAAAAGTAAAAAATAACTGATTGGTAGTTTTCATTTACTATACATACCTAATCACATATTTTCGAAGTCGGTGTGCTTTGGCTAAGTAATTAAAACCTACCTATTAAATACATACCTAATCAAATATTTTCGAAATCGGTACCAGCAATACAAAGCAAAGCACACCGACTTCGAAAATATTTGATTAGGTATGTATAGTAAATGAAAACTACCAATCAGTTATTTTTTACTTTTTAGTGCTTTTGTTTGAAGTCGGTTTTTATTTTTTTGTTAATTTAAACTCAAATAGATTTTTCTAAACAACTATTTTAATTAATACTTAAAGAGTTTTCCCTACGTTTTTAAGGTAATTAAACATTTAAAATCTCCTCTATCTTTCAATAAGTATGAGTTAGAAAATTCTAAAATATCAAGAAATAATAATATGTAAATACATACATAGATATGTACTTCTAAAATATGAACTTTCAACGAACATTATTTCGACGAAGATAATATTATGTTAAGTAGTTTTGGGATATTGAATATTTTACACACTTTGTGAGGCCTTGACATGTTTTTCTATACTATCTTGGAAAAATACTATACAATTAATGAACAATAATACCTACGCATTATTTTTTTCTGGTGATAAAATTAATATTGTGGTTTAGAAATTGAAACATAAATATATATTTTTTTTACCGAAACAAATTACGCATCTAAGCCTAAACAACGCCAATTTATTGCTGGATGATTCGGTACCGGGGCACACTCGATGCGCGACTTCTAGCACTTGTCTGATTTTTTTGTTCTTATTTCTTTTACTTTTAAGGAAGTAAAGGGATTATTTTATTAAAGGGAAAAAATATTTTATATAGATATACAAGTTTATGTAAAAATACTATTTATTAATCAGTCTTTAGCATCTGCGATACCACCATTGGTTATAGAAAACGTAGCTTCACTTTCAGGCAAATCTGGCGAATCATATATTTTAGCAATACGATTTTCGCCGCGTCCTTTTCTGAGATATATCCTTGTAGTTGAAGCGTGCGCTAATATATTTCCACCAATAGGCTTCTTGGGATCTGCTTGAAAACTTAAAGTTGCTCCTGGGTCGGCGGTCATTTGGTTTGTTATGAATACAGCAACGTTGTATTCTTCTGATATCTGTTTGAGACATAAAAAAAAGTTTTTATTATTAACTTGATTAAGTAAAAGATAGAGCTCAATGTAAACCACAAAAATTAGACATGAAACTTTCATCAGAAATCTTTGTACTCCTTTTTACGACTGCGGCGTAGCCCAAAAGGTGGGTTTTTAGATTGCTTTACTAATCTTTGCTAATATTAATGATATATGATATTGAGGGAAAATATAACTAAAGCATCACACAACAATTCTATTATATATTTAGATAAGTATTTTCGTTGGATCCTAATTTATCTTATCTGTACGTACAAGCCGTCGTATACCCGGATGCTGTTTATCTATTCACCTAGTGAACTTCCATATTGAGTAAAGCAGTCGGAATTGCTTTACTGAACATGAAAGTTAAATCTTCGTAATTCTCAGAAAAAAAAATTAATTTAGTATTAAAGCAACTGTTCAGTTAAGCTCTAATTACAAGCTTTTATTATTATCTAAATGAGAATATAAATATATGGAATCACGACTCATAGTGTAAAATATCTTTTTTTTCGCACAGTTTTATTTTATTGAATATCAATTAAAAATGTTAACAAAATCAATTACTTTCAAGGTTACATAATAATGAATAAATTATTTAGCCGCTACCTTTATGGCTTAGGTAGGTCTAATATAGCAAAGTGACTTACCCTCACCTCGCTCGGGTGCTTCCCTAGATACGTTTTAAGTAGATAATAGATATGAACAGTTATTGAGAGTGCACCTTCGAAGATACATATATGCTATTGTGGACTTTTTTGTAGGCTTTTAAGGCCTACAATTTTCTAGTACACTATTTTGATATATCTCTTAAGGTTTAGCCAGCGTAACCCAAATAAATTTCTTATGACGACTCAATAGAACCATTAATTAGTTAACACGGGAAAAGTTCCCGTGGGAATAAAAGATTTTTCTCTAGAAAATATCCTAAATATTGACTCGGGTAATAAGCTAATACTATTACACAAAATTTGGTCAAAATCGGTCCAGTACTTTTTGCGTGAAACGTGAATAATAATAATTTTGCGTTTTTGGGTCTTATTGAATACACAATACGTACCTACAGTCATTGTTTTAAAAAAAATATTTCATGTAATAACAAATTTCGCTAAGTTACTGACATTTAAGAAATTATACAATGACAAAAAATCACTTCAAAATTACCTCTACCTAATCTTGATTGAAATCTGAATTGGGTGGCGATTTTCCCCTAAAAATTCATACGGGACCAACGTCAAGATATATCTACCTATTCTATTCATGAAAAAGAGAATAATTAAACTATACACAAATTACAATCGTTACTATAAAACATATTTACATTTGAAATTAGAACCTTCTCCTTTAGTTAAACATATTGAAAATGTACAAGGTAGTTTTTTATTATGTAACTAGCATAAAGCATTGCCCGCGGCTCCGCCCGCGTTCAGATGACTAAAAAACAAATTCTTATGTTTTACATATTAGTATACTCTTACATTGCAGTTTTTGTATTTTTTCTCAAAAGTGAGATATTTTCCGCGGCTAAAAGTATCCCATATGTTGATCCGGATAATCAGCTATGATCATACCAAATTTCATCAAAATCCGTCCAGTAGTTTTTCTGTGATGCGGTAACAGACAGACAGACAGACAAAAATTCTAAAAACTATAGATTCGGCCTCTGTATCGATAATAATGTCTATTTCAATAAGATTTTCCAAAAAATATTTATTGTACAGATTTGACTCAGTTCGAATTTTATTATATGTATAGATAATTGGCAGTTTGATTTAAATAATTTTTAATTATTGAAGAAACAACATTTATTTAATTGATAAGGAAGCTAAGGCAAATCAGCATTTATATTTCGTATGTTCAAGGTTACGAATAATAAGTGCTAAGAACTAGCTCTCGAAAACAGATATTATTACCTACTCTCATACTTCCCAGTTTACTGCAGTCTGCGTGAGGTTTCGAGCGAGTAGGTATTTTAATTTGACTATTATTGAATTTGTACATATATTATATTTTCAACCGACTTCAAAAAGGAGGAGGTTCTCAATTCGACTGTATTTTTTTTTTATGTTTGTTACCTCAGAACTTCGTCATTTATTAACCGATTTGGACAATTTTTGTTTTGTTTGAAAGAGTGTACTTCCAAATTGGTCCCATTTAAATTTCAAAAAAAAATTCCACCCCTAAGGGAGTAAAAATAGCTAATAATGAATTTAACCTACTTCTAATTGTCATATTGACTTGAAACTTTGCAAGTGTTTCTATTTCCGTTGATAGTACAGTGGTTCGGTATTGTTGACCTGATCTGATGGTAAGGCCAGAAGGTGGATAGGCGGAACTCTTCAACGGCTAATAGTAGATACTTTGAGTTTGGGCTTATTTTGTTTGATTTGACAAGCCTAACACGTTTGAATTCTTACTTTGCTACTACTGTCTACACTAAAAAGGGAAAATAAAAACTTTTTAACAAAAAAATAAAACCGACTTCAAACAAAAGCACTAAAAAGTAAAAAATAACTGATTGGTAGTTTTCTTTTACTATACATACCTAATCAAATATTTTCGAAATCGGTGCCAGCCCATACAAAGCAAAGCACACCGACTTCGAAAATATTTGATTAGGTATGTATAGTAAATGAAAACTACCAATCAGTTTTTTTTACTTTTTAGTGCTTTTGTTTGAAGTCGGTTTTTATTTTTTTTAAACTCATTGATATAGTCATTATAATCGATACAAAGGCCGAAACTAAAGTTTTTAGAATTTTTGTCTATCTGTCTGTCTGGGAACGCATCACAGGAAAACCACTGGACAGATTTTGATGTTTGGTATGTTGACAGATGGTTATCCGGGTCAACATATAGGGTACTCTTTAAATCGGGAAAATATCTCATCTCCGAGAAATACATGTATAAGAAAATACTTAACGTTAAGACGTAATTAAGGATGAACCCAAGCGAAGCGAGGGTGAGTCGCTAATATAACAATAAAGATTGAAGTTATTTTTCTAATTTTGTAACGGCCAGAATTTCCCATTAAAGTTGGAAGGTTACATAGCCATTTGCAAATGAAACAGTAGATCCTTGTTACTTACGACATTTACGCGAATCTATACATATAATAAAATTGTAACTAAGCCGAATCTGTACATTAAATATTTTTTGGAAAATCTTATTCAAATAGACATTATTATCGATACAGAGGCCGAATCTATAAATTTAAGAATGTTTGTCTGTGTGTCTGTCTGTTACCTCATCACGGAAAAACCACTGGAGGGATTTTGATGAAATTTGGTATGATGATAGCTGATTACCTGGGTCAACATATAGGATACTTTTTACTGCGAGAAAATATGTTAGTTTTGAGAAATCTATACTAAACCTAAAAATGTAAGTAGAGACGAACCCGAACGGAGCGAGGGTGAGTCGCTAGTGCTAAAATAAAATTGTTTATTTTGAATATTACATATTTTAAAAATGTACCTTTTGTAGTCTAGATAAGACTTGTGCTAATTTCTGTTGGCGGTCGGCTAGTTCACCGCGTCCAGAAAAGTCCACACGAAATAACGCCATAATAGAATCTATGACCAACAGTTTGAACACTCCGGCTTCTTCGTGGAATTTTGCAGCGACATAGTCTAGGAGCTCAGCCTAATAAAAAATAATTAAAAGGGATTCAATCCGTAAATTGTCTATTGTATCTATTCTAGACCTTAATACCTAGATATTGAATTTGTAATTACTAGCTTATAATTTACCGGCGACTTACCCTCATTTCGCTCGGTTTCATTCCTAGGTACGTTTTAACAGTTAGTATGGAATAGATAGTCGATCCCTTGCGCTGTGAAGAAAAAAAAAACAAATCTATCTCACGGGAACCCTACATTTTTTCGAGATAAAAATAACTTATGTGCTATTCCAGATAATATCTATCTCTGTGCCAAATTTTATCCAGATCCGTTCAGCCGTTCTGGCGTGATTGTTCAACAAACATCCATCCAAACTTTTATTTATACAAATAAAATTAAATCACCGAAATGTATGTATGTACACGCATAACTTCCGATCGACGGCACCAAATTGGATAATTTTTTTTTGTGTTTGTTATTGTCATGACAAGTTTTGTCTATACATATAATAAAATTCTGAGTCAAATCTGTACATTAAACATATTTTGAAAAATCTTATTGAAATAGACATTATTATCGATATAGAGGCCGAATCTATAGTTTTTAGAATTTTTGTCTGTCTGTCTGTTACCGCATCACAGAAAAACCACTGGAGGGATTTTGATGAAATAATTTTCATCATTTCTCTTCTAGTAGTAAAGTTAAGCCTCCTTACGGCATATATTTTAACTAGCATTACCCGCGGCTCCGCTCGCGTTCAGATGACCAAAAAGCAAATTCTTAGATTCTACATATTAGTATACTCTTACATTGCAGTTTTTGTATTTTTCCGCAGAGATGAGATATTTCCCAAGTTTACAATTTTATTATATATATATAGATTAAAGTGTAGGCATGTATTGTATGGTTCATACTAACCATACCTACTAATATTATAAATGGGAAAGTTTGTAAGGATGGATGGATGGATGTGTGTTCACATCGGAAAAGCTGAACAGATCTAAATGAAATTTGGCACAGAGATAGATTATAGTCTGGAATAGCACATAGGTTACTTTTAATCCCGGAAAAATGTAAGGTTTTCGTGGGATAGATTTGTTTTTGTCTAGGGACGAAACTAAGCGAAGCGAGAGTGAGTCGCTAGTATGTATAATATAAATATGTATAACCCTCTATGCATATAAATTATATATTTATATACCTATATAAAAATAGGTAATTGTGTTCGTAATTTTGTCACGTCTACCAAGTACATACTACTATCCATACATTTCCGCGATTACGATGGTACATAGGTAGCAATTAACATTCCATTGATAATACCTAATTATCATTTATAGTTTATATCATTGTTGTACATAGAGTCCGCGGTGGTTGGTAAAAGCTCTTAATTACATCTTCTTCTTCTTCTCCCTGCCCATTTCCCAATCACTTGGGGTCGGCGCAGTACATCCTTTGTACTGCTGAAAGGATTTGGCAAAAGTTTTAAGACCGGACGCCTGACTGACGTCAACCCTCCTTGGGAATGCTATTGCTTAATTACATACGTACTAGTTTTTAATGAAAACAAAAATGATAACTAATTATAAAAACTTTTCGAGCTTTCAAATTTTCCAAGATATTTCTAAAAATATATATAGGAATCTTGATTTTTTATCGAAAATTCTAGAATATATCAAAATGATGTCGGGAATCACTAAGGGTCTCTAAATATCTATTGATTTGAGCTAACTTTACGTTCTATCTAGCTTTCTATTTAAAAACCAATTTATGCACGCCGCCGCGCCGTGTAGGTACGTAGGTAGGTCATTAAAAATTAAATTACCAAAATAAATAATGACGTGTCGGAATACGATGTCCGCCATCCGCCAATTTTAGTCAAATTAAGGAGTTATTACATTGTAAAGTTATTGTTACACAATGACTCACTAAGAACCTAAACCTAAATCAAATAAATCTAAACTCAGACCAATAAAATACTTTTTTATTGGTCTGAGAATCTAAATCTTCATCGTTCGGAATTTACAATCTTAGTTGTGTTTTTATTAATAATATATTATTTATGTATAAAATAATATGAATGTTTGGGCTAAACTTATTGGTCTTACGATATAAGTATTTGTATACGGGCATGGCCTGGTATCATAGCTAGTGATCTTACAAAATTATTGAGACTCGTGTATGGTTGAGATAATTAGTACTTACACGCACCTACATGAGGCCAATGTACCTACTTATTATAGTAATTGTTTAATTATAAACTGATAATGTCCACATGATGTTCTCGCTAAGAAACACGCGATTTTAGATATATATGCATAATTAATAATTATAAATAACTGTGTACTTATAATTTATTATATAAATTAAACCAGCTTTTGGTTTTGGTTTTAATTTAAATTTAAATACCATGAAACGTATTATTTAAATATTAATATATTTTTATATTATTGGAGAAGTAGGAAGTGTTCTTTACGATCTTAAAACGTGACTACTCTACCTGATGTTCCGATGTATAGGCTCTCGCGTATAACACGTTGTCTAAAACAGCATGTTGTTCTAAGTTGAATCTGTCTGCGATTGGCCTTAACCTGTCTGGCCGACTGTTGTAGCACAGTTAAGATAATATACTTGTTTAAATATGTATTTTATTACGATGCGATTCTTTAAAAAAATCTATATTATTAAACTTAAAGTTTTATGAAACTAAAGTAATAAAAAAATAAGGTTCTGCAACCTTAATAATAACATTGAAAATAAGTATTATGGTATATTAATTATTTTCTAAACCTATATCTTTACATAATCTTCACGCCATTCGGAGTAGTTTGTCGCCGTCTTACATTATGGCCTAAGAGCCCGTGAACGCCAGACCTTCGTCATTTTATAAAAGCTGAAAGTTTGTCAGCGCATGCTCCCAACACAGAAAAGAACGATGGACCATTATGAAGTTCAGGCTATGGTGACTTTGGCAGGTACACGGTACTAAAGGTGTGTAAAATACCGATCTAAATTCGTCAAATAATAAAGTGTGATTTTTTGGTATTACCTTCAGAATATTATTAAAAATCACGTCATTCAATGCCAGACACTTAACATCGTGGCAAACCCTTGCCAGACACCCTTTTCATGAAATCATAATTCTACTTACGTTATAGTATAAAAGCTGATTTTTATATATAATACTTGGGTAATAATGAGATGATTTATAAGACTGCTAGCATAGCATATTACACACCATCAAAAATAAAGTCAATTCTTAGTGCTTCAAATTTGGTGACCATTTGCAACATTTTCTTAGAAATGCCTCCCAACTTCTTTGGAACCCAGCTGTAATGAATGGATTTGGCTGAATTTTGACTTTTTGAATTTCTTATAAAAACTAAAAAGTTTAGTTTTTTTTTTCAAGTTGTGTCACATGAAAATGGTGTTACTTGTAGTAGCTTCCTTTTACAGCTATATTCATTTTTTCTTTCGAGAATACCTCAGTTTCAATAAAAAATATACCTAGTGACTTATACCCTCGCTTCGCCCGGGTGCGTCCCTTAAGGTACGATATATGTATGTAGATATAAACAGTTATTGCGAAAAGTCCCACGAAAATTTTTTAAAACCAATGAAAAATTTAATAATATCCGATTCAAATAGGGAGGTTGTATACATAGGTACTCTAGGGACGAACACGAGCGAAGCGAGGGTGAGCCGCTAGTTAATATTTAAAAATTCCTATAATTGTATTTTTGGTGGAGATTTCTAGAAACTTTGTTTTCTTTTTAATTTACGGATTTTCAAAACAGCAGTTATTTTTAATGGGTAAACTTTTTAGTTTATAGTATTAAAAATCCAAAGAAGTAAAAACATTCAAATCCATTCATTATAACTGGGCTCCGTTATTTTTCATTTATGACTAATTGCACTTCGACTAATTGTATAAATTATGAATAACCATGTTTAAAAGGATACAATGTGTGTTCAGTGTCAAGAAACATGACCTTTCCACCGCTATAGCCTGACGAATTGGGTATTTGTGTAGTAACACACAATGTGTGAGATAATTGTGTTTTACCAGTACGGAATTCACCGAATACTTCTGTAATAGCCATTGATTCTATTCCACCTGCAAGGAGCTTGCTAAAATATAAAGATAAATATTTTTATATGTTGAAGTAATGTAATTATAATACAAACCAATCATTAAATACAGTAATAATTTAAACGCTGTGCTTACTCAAGTTCTACGCTTCCTGTGTTTATTTTGAATACTTGCTTACGTCGATTACTAACTTCTAAAGCTGTCATAAAACCAAGGGTTATTACTTTTAAACAAGCTTCTTTAATTTTTTCCACCTTTGTTTCTGAAAAACCTTTGATATTACATAGTTTTTTCTTAGTGGACATTTGAATTCCCTTAACAGTGCATATTCCTGCGCCTTTTAGTTTTTTAATATCTGCTACATTTATGCCATGTTTTTGCAAAATATCTACGTCTTGAAAAAAGCTTTCTTCTTCATCATTTTCAGAAATGTTGTCTTCCAAGGCTTGATCCAACATTTTCAAGCAAGATTAATTGGTAGGTTTAGTTTCATACCCTAAATTTAAAATTAGGCGCCTTTTATTTTTTTTTTATTTTATTATTATTATTTAGCCGTAAGGCTATTTACTAAAATGTCTTAAACTGATTTTATAACTTTTTTTATTTATTATTTTACATTATTTAAGTTAATATAATATTAAAATTATTATTAAGTAATTTTGTCTCAATAAAACTAAATTGTCAGCTGTAGCATACATAAAAATAATTTTAAGGAAGACATTTTATCTATGATGGAAGATTAATATCGTCTGTGGCTTGACATAAACATTTAGGTGTATGACGTCTAATGTTTTTGTCTATGATTTTAATTCTTCGATGCAATGAAAAGGCTTGATGCGGCGCAAATTGAAGATATTTAATTAAGCCTTTGTAAATACTTGAAGAATTTACCGTCTTATTCATCCCAGTTAAGGTAAGGGCGTAAGTTAACCCTACGGAAGTTATAAAAAGTGATTATTTATTTTGTTCATATATATTTCCTCCTATATAACAGCCATGTTGAAGTAGTGTTGATTTTACTAAGTTTCGTCGGTTTATCGTTTATTATAAAGTCAAAAGTTTATTAAAGTTCACAAGTATATGTGACAGACCTAAGTTTAGTTTGTGTTGTGATTACAAAGTTAAAAGTCTTTACAAAATGAAAAGTGTTATACAGTGCCAAACATACAGACGTCGAGTCGTCATTATTAAGGTAAGGCTGGATGTGTCTTCAATATACATCAGAACGTAGTTCATATAACTTAAAATATTTTGTTAAAAAATGCGTTTTAAGACATTTCCACGATATTCTTTTTTAAAATAATCTAAAGATTCTTGGTATGTTTGTCTACTTATGACTGATACAAGGTTTAACATAATTCGGTTAACTAAAACATGTGTCCTCTTATTTATTATCTTTTTCAGTGAACTCATTCTTTTTTTTATATGTATATGTGTTTAATAAATAGTTTATGAACTGATTGCCATATTTGTTAGCATAAGAGCTCTCTAACATTAGTAAAAAGCTTTTGGGATGGGTGCTCACAGGTCATTCTTTTTATTTCATAGAACATTACTGTCTAATTTCAGAGATGGATTCTGAAGATTCTCGAGATGCTACTGGAGATGCACAATCATCCTCAAGTAGTAGTAGCTCAAGTTCTCGAAGTCGTCGAAGTTCATCATCAGATAGCTCTAAAAAAGACCCCAAATCCCCTCCTCACTCTCCGGCTTCTCCTAGGTCTAATGGACCAAGATCTCCTTCACCAGAAAGTCATTCCCAACTGTCACAAAGATCCACATCAGATAGTAAGAGACCACACTCCCCCGATAATTTAAGTGGAGCTCATTCAGATATTAATTCTCCAGAAAATTCTATGCCTGCTTCACCATTGGCTCCTAAGTCTCCTGATGCACCAAAATCTCCAAGTGATGTAGCTTCAAACATAGGTTCTCCAGAGCAACCAGAACATTACTCATCACCCCCTCCATCAGCTGGTGATGATGGTGATCATCCAAAATCACCACAAAGTCCTAATAGTTCTGTGAAATCTGCACCTGGTTCACCAGCAAATAGATCTCAACCAGTTTCACCCAATTCTGCCTCCCAGGTTACATCCCCCTCCCGAATTATTGAACCACGGTCTCCTACATCAAGTCCATCACCAGACAGAGCGTCATCACAGTCTTCTAATCCTAGATCTCCAATTAAGAAAAATGATTGGAGTCCAAAAGAGAAATGGAGGAGGCACACAAAGGCTGAACAAAAGATGGTATCTACACCACAAAATCGCAGTCGGTCAGAGTCAAGTCAATCAAGCAGAAGTTCATCATATAATAAAAGAACTAATTCTAAGGATCCAGCTACGGAAGCCATTTCAGATGGTAATTATTGCAGGATTTTTATTATTGTTATTGCAAGAACTAGTTCAATACTTATAATTAAGTCTGAATCAGTCAGTTAATTGTGTACATATAGCCGATTGTCCTAAGAATATTTAAAACTGAAAAGCATGTTATGATATTTTAGGTGAAATGGAATCAGATCAAGAGGATCACAAATCAAGTAAGTCTGTAGCAAGTGAAAAGCCTGAAAAAGATCACAACATAAGTCATGAGGACTTATCTGATGTATCAGATGTTGATTCAGATGGACCAGATGATACAGAAAAGGAAACAAAGGTTATTAATAATTATATTATTAAATATTATTAATATATTCAAATATAATTATTAGTTTTACAAACATATTAATATACTAGGAACAATTAACAAAAAATATTTTATTTTGTTAGGGACCCCTAGCAAAAGATACTCACTTTACATTTAAAAACATAAAAAGTCAATATGAATTACAATATGTGTGCTGCTTCATTTATAGGAGTCCACTGCTTGCTAATTTAAATATAACTAAGTTAAAAAATAAGTAGTATATATAGATAAAGTAGGTACATGTCAAGAAACCATTTCTAAACTATATATTTCTAATGATACATAAAATAACAGTACACAAAATGAACTTACAGGCATATTACAACAACTTTAAAATATTGCTACTAAAATAAAGAAAGGAATTTACTAAGATATATATTTTTCTATTTACTGTTCTGTTTATAGTAATTTATCAATATGAGATAAGTCTATAATCAATACATAATAAATATTTTTATTTTTTTGTAAAAAGTATTTATGAGGACTGCCAACATTCACATATATACACATATTCACTTATATACATATATTCACATAGTGATCTTAAATTAAAATTTGTTAATTAAAACTGTTAACATCTATCTGGTTTTGACATCTATCGGCACTCTGAGTGTTAGCGTTAACACGTCACGTGACCATGTCGATGACGACCCACATGAATTTACTCCCCATCCAACCCTGCCTATAGAAGTTTTCACTTCAAAATGATATGCTTATATTTTTAGACCAAATCTAGATCTCCTTCCCCTGACAAAAGAGAAGTTGTGAATGGCAATGATGGAACAAGTTCACAGTCATCCCCTAAATCTGATTCTGGAAAAAAAGAAAGCCATAAATTGGAAAAAGTAAGTTATTGTCCATTTTATTATTAATAACAATGGTTATAAAAATAGAAAAGTTACTGATTTGTAATTAAAGTTTTATTAAAATCTAATTTTACATGCCTTACCTAAGCTTATTTTTATTATTATTGTAATATTGTTATTGAGCAAAGCATATTATTCCGTTGTGGAATACTTTGCTGATGCAAATGTGTGAGATTAATAATAGTTGATACTCACGCAGGATATGAACATAATTATTGTATTGATATATTGTAAATTATATTTAAAAAGAGTAACTGTTGAGTTTCTCACTGGCTCTCCTCAGTAAAACTGCCTTCCCAGCCGGTGTTAGATTTCTCACAGACTTATCACACTGACATTTAATTTTAATTTAAAATGTATAATTGACGATTCAAAAGTACTTTTAAAAGTCTACTCGAATAAAGTATATTTTGATTTGATTTGTATATAGATGTTTTTTTAAATGATAATGTTCTTAATTAAAATTTTGTAAAAATCTGTTCTGTTCTCTAAAGATGCCTCAAGAAAAAATAAGTAACACAGAGGATGGTGAAGAACAGTTAGATTTTGAAGCAGAAGAGGGAGAATGTATTGAACCAAAAGCTAAAGATCAATCAAATGGTGATATTGATGCACAAAGTGGTAAGAAAATTCAAAGTGGTAAAATATTTTATAACTATCTTTATATAGATTTATGACATTATTAATTTGTTTTTATTGTACACAAAACACAGTAATGTTATTAATATAATATACATAATATGTAAATGTAATAACAATGGTGGACTTATCAAATTATGGGCCAGGCAATTGTTCAGTCCTAAATTACAAAAGGTTAAGGAAAGTTTCAATTTAGTGTATTTGCTTAGTATAGTGCCTTAAATTTATAATCCTAATTCAATATTACTCTATACATTTCTGAGACTCGACTGGGAATTCACCACTTTTCCTATCATATATCAAAAGAAAGTTTACATAACATTTAAAAAAGCCTTATATATTAGTCAAATTTTCAATAAGAAATTTCATAACACCTAAATATGTTAAACTTTTAGTGGTATTACTCGTAGTATAAAAATTTTATTGTGAAATAGATAAATCATTAAAAAAAATTATATCAAAATGCTCTTCTTTCAAAGACAAAGTGCAGGATTATAATGCATTAATTTATTCAGAAGAAGTTAAAGCCGGTCGTCGTTCACGAGGTTCGTCGCTAGAAGAGGGTGAAGTGTCAGATGAAGCAGAGCGGCGGCCAGAGGAGAGTGAGCCACGGCCTGTGTGCAGGTTTTTCTCTAGGGGAGCTTGCACTTGGGGTGTTAGTTGCAGGTAATGTTAGTTAATTGTTCAAGAATTTATTTCCAAAAAAGAATACAATACAGTTAAGTGCTTGAGAAAACAATATACATCTTAATCTGTATAAATATTATAAATGTGAAAGTTTGTGAGTATGTATGTTTGTTACTCTTTTACGCCAGAACGGCTGAACGGATCTGGGTGAAATTTGGAACAGAGATAAATTATAGTCTTGAATAATACATAGGCTACTTTTTATCTCGGAAAAATATACGGTTCCCAAGGGGTAAATTTGTTTTTGTTTTTGCTAGTAGTAAATATAAGCATACAGGCGGTACACAAAAATGTAGAACTATAGAAAATAAATTCATTGGTTACATTAACGCATACAAAAGCATCATGTCCTATTATGTATAGCTTCTGCTATTGCAATTAAATAGGAATTTATGTAAACGCTTATTAGTTAGTTGATATTTGAATAAGAAAGATTTAGATGAAAATATTAAACAATAAAAAAATTGTGTAGTAGGAAAGTTTAAAGCATAATTTATATTTAGATTCAACTATTTTATTGTCTCGAAAAAAATTCTTTTAAGATGTGGAAAGTACTTTAGTTTTCTTTTGAACAATTTGAAATATTGAATTTCATTAATATTAATGAAATTATCTTTGACATGCCAGTTGAGTAGTATTTATGTCTATATCCATGATTGGCTAAATATACAATAGTATATTCTTCTTCACCAAAACATGTTTATTAAGCTAAACATATTGATTGACTGAAAACAACTTAACTTATTCTTTGGCGTAACAGTCACCACTCACGTCACAACTCTCTGTTTGTAAAAGGAATGCAGCTAACTTCATCATGTCGCTTTTTGGCTGTCGGTGTGCGCGCGGATCGTAAAAATTTTATTGTCATAATTTTTTCTAAACGTGCCAAAAGAAGTACTTATAACTTCAATAAAAAATAACGAGTCCCACAACGTTACAGATTCCTGCACCCGGGCGTGACGGACAAAGGCAACTACAACATGTTCGAGGTGGTGCGCGGCGTGCCGCCCGCCGGCGCCTTCCCGCCGCCGCGCGACGCCGCCCCGCCCGAGTCCGCCTGGGAGCGGGGACTTCGGACCGCTAAAGAGGTTATATCTATATATATTAAATACAAAAGTGATTGACTGATGTTTAAATTATGCACAGGCCAAATCCTTAAGACTAGAAAATTGAAATTCCGCACACGTGTTCCTCATATGACGAAGGCATCTACTAAGATTTTTCAAAATTCAACCCCCAAGGGGGTGAAATAGGGGATAAAAGTTTGTATGAAACTTTTTATTCCTTGGACATATGCATGAAATTTCGTATGAATTGTTGAAAGTAACGGAAATTTTGCATAGACTGGATAACGTTTAAATTTTTTTTTAAATGAAAAAAAATAATTTATGAATGCTTTTACTTTTTCGAAAAATGTATTACTTATTGTTATTAATTATTCATTTTTTGGAAAATAAATAAAGCAATTTCGATAACGCGAAAAAAACCAACATTTTTTTCTAACCTCAGAATTTCACCGCCCTGGGCACTAGCTCCGAGTGTCCCTAGTGTAGTGTGTGTAAATATTGATAATAATATAATAATATTTAATGGTGATAATAAAATAATTTTATTATTTTGTTTATTGGATTTGGAAGTTTAGTTGATAATATTTATATTTTTTACATGCTTGTTCCTAATCAAGAGTGTTATATTTTATATCGCGAATTATATTTTTTGCTTTGCAAAACTTTTTGGAGAGGTTTTAATATACATTTTTTTCCATATTTTTCACACCATAATCATTTTTTTTATATCAATAATTTTTAATAAGTATACTTGCAAATTATAACATAACCTCTTTAAAATGCTAATATTAGCTTTCAAATTTTCCATTTGTAATTTTATTAAACTAAACACTTACAAAGCTTCACAACCCATTTCACATTGTTTATGGCTTAACGCTTACAACGGAACGAAAAAAACCGCAGTCGTGGGTGTGAATTTTATGAGGGCCTAGTAGAATGTATCCATGAACATAAAACAACTTGCATTGAGTTGCCTGCATTTTTAATAATATAATTAATAATAATACCTATCTCAATAACAACAGATGCTCAGGATAGCCAACAAAAGAAAAGAACAAGATATGGACTTTGAGGAGAAGAAGCTACACCTCTCCGTAGGCGGAGTGGTACATGACCCGGACGCGGAACTAGCGTACGCCGCCGCGGCCGTCGGGGCTTCCCCGCCTCACGACATACCGCCGCCGCACAGAGATCCGGAGATGTATAGGTGATTTAGTTTTGGTTTTACCTAATGTATTATAGATAAGCATTTGTATAAATTATTGTAAATAGTTCAGTTTGAGTTGTATATACTATGAATGAATGAAATTTGCCGTTTGTCATTATTTGTAGAATTTCAAGCTATTATGGAAGCTGGTGATTTTGTTGTTTAAAATAAACACCAAATATTTCTGTATAATTACGGGTCTCGTTTCTCCCTGTCAGGTTTGTAATCTACTATAATGAAAAAATGCGCCTGCTCTTTTGCAGGTCGTGTAGAATTATCGTATGAGAGTGACAGGTATAGGGAGTGCACGTTGTGCCTGCACCTACGCGCGCTGCACTATAATATCTCCTGCGCAGTAGGCTAACATTGAGAGTGGCCACTGTAGTCGAAATCGGTCAGGAAGACATCATTTTTATCTACACAGATAAATAAAGTTGAAATAACTGTTTGTAATGTCAAAATAACAGCGTTTTACTAAATGAAATTATATATGTTTCTTATAAGAAAAACACATTTTTTTGATTTTGTGTCTGTCTGTTTCGGATAATATCTGAAACGCCTGGACTGATTTTGACGGGACATTCACTGGAAGACGGCTGATGTTATAGGGAGTAACATAGGCTACTTTTATTTTAGAAAAAGAATTAGTGTTCCACTCAAAAAAATTAAAACATACCTAGGGAGGAACCCGAACGAAGCTAGGGTGAGTCGCTAGCTTCATCAATGAAAAATAATAAAACAGACTTAATTAATTAGATCATACGGTGTAATGTACCGTGGCGGTCGCTTCCCCCGGCCGCCGATGGACGAGCGCGAGCGCTACTACGAGCGCGAACGCGGCTACGACCGCGAGCGCGCGTACGAGCGGCCCCCTTACTACGAGGAACATATGGCCGCGCCAGAAGATCCACAGTATCATAAGGTATTTAAATCTACTATTTTTATGCGGAAGTTTGTATATATGTATTTTAACTTCACAGACAGAAACTAAGCTACGCGTCCGATCGAAGCGAGGGAGAGCTATCCCACGCTACTTGGGGACAGCATTTGTTTTCTTCTTTCACACAGTCGATCCATTCATCCACATTATCAAACATTAATATCAAATCGAAATATGCTTTATTCAAATAGACTTTTACAAGCACTTTTGGATTGTCAATTTAATATTTCCAAAATTTAAATTATGTCAGTATGTACGTCCGTCATGAATCTATGAGTCATATGACTTTATTCCATCCTCATTATATATCCCTACCATGCTAACCTATCCTTTCACTCATCACCATCTTTGCCATATTCTCTTAATCTTCCTTTCATCTGCATCAGTACTGTGATTAATGTAAACAAAACAGAATCGGCCGATTTAATGTCAGAATTTTAATTCTGTTTGTGCTCAATACAAACCATAGACAATACTAGTTTCAATTAATACATCCACTGACTAATGTTTTATTTTTAATTTAGATTTTATATATTGTTATCTATAACCTATTGCTCAAAAATATACAGAGACGCGTACGTTCATCCCGGGAAGTTATAGTACAGCGGGCCGAAGTAGAACGACGCGAAGGTCGTGAGGGTCGTGAGGGGAGGGTTCGAGACGGTCGGGAGGGACGTGGGGACGAGTGGGCGGACCCTTGGATGAGGGCTGAACCCGCTGCCAGAAGACGAAGACCTCCTTCCTCAGAGGACTCATACAGCTCTTCAAGGTAGGTCATTGAATAAGTAACCAAGCTATTTAGTTTGATACACTTAGTTTTGAACCCGTATTCATACATCCCTTGAGTAATATACTTGAGTGAATTTAGTTTATGTAGTATTTAAAAGCAATTCTAGCAATGTATTGCTTTTGCTTGAAACTATTTATAATTTACTACAAGGATTGTCGATGAACACGGGCCTCTTAGTCATAGAACTTGTGATTGTGAAAAGCTTGCGAGCACAATGAAATATAATGAAAAGATGAAATTTAAACATTTTAATTATATTTCATCTAAATCGGTATTTCGTTTGTTTATACATGTGGTAATTTCAATTTAAAATGTATCCAAAAATATCTATATCAAGTAATAAATATTTATTAGAATACGCTACAAACCGACATTTAACGGACATGCTGTCTTTCTATCATTAAACAAATATTAATTCTGGTCATTTCCCTCCGCTTTCTTCCCGCTATCCCCGGCTGGGTTATGCTTCATAACTAATGTCGTGGTGTTTCGGTTCTCACACGAATCTCATCTCTTCGTTAACCTCTGCATGAACGTTCATTGGGATTCGCTTATGTATAAATGTGTGCGTGTCACGTGACCGCGTGTGCCGTGTGCGTACACGCGAATGTGCATGTGTGTGTGCGCGCGTGTGTGTGTGTGCGTGCGTGCGTGTGTGTGTGTTTGTCTTCACCTACCTTTCTCTCCTCGGCTTCCATTTGAGCCCACAGCTCTTCAAATTCCAGTTCGCGTAGTTCAGGCAGCCCCGGGGCCAGGCGTAAAAGGAGGGCGTCTTCATCATCACGACAAAGGTGAACATTATGATATATATACATTTTGGCATGATCTTTGCTATGTGAACAATTACGCTAGTATGTTGTGATGAATATTTACTGTAGAGTGTAGACTCGTCATCTTTAGATAGTTTTAATAAATTACATGTTTGATTGTTATAGGACATGATAACTAAAGAATCTCTTGATACATTTATTGTTTACGTTAGGTTTTTATTTTTAATATAAATTGTTTTGTATTTTGGTTAATTAATTAAGTCTTTAAGGCCAATGAATTAGTAAATAAAATGATAAAATTATTGGGATGTTAATGAATATGAGTAAAAAATTTTTTTTTCTTGTATGAAGATATAACTTCATAGATACAAACGGAATTTTTGAAGTCAAATTTTGAAGTCACATTGTAATATAAATAAGTTACTATTAATCCAGTTACTGTACGACTAATATGTTATTATTTGTCCAGCTATTATTTTTTATTTTGTTTTTTTATTTAGTGCGTCTGGATAAAAGATTATTTATTTGTAAGTTTTAATTTTCTATTATGTGACAGACCCGACTTGGATAACGTGGGTTAAGGAGCCTTACGCCTTAGCCTTCTTGTTAGGTTTTCTTTGAGTTCAAACCTAGAGCCCCCCCCATATCTTAATTACTCTATGTTATTTAAGATTTGGTGACATGAATTTTTTTAATTATAATCAATAGCCGGACTAATAAAAATAATATTTTTCATACAGTTAATAAATAATATACAGTCACCCATATAAAAATTTGACTCGTTCGTGTCGTAGCCATCCTATCAAATTATGATGATAAGGATGTGCACTTATATTTGTGCACACACACTTGCATTATTATATTTGTTGTGTAGTTCGTTTCAGTGGACTTTCGAAATTGGCCGTATTAACATCGGTTAAGAGGGTATAATTATTGTATTTAATTTCATTGTTTTATTTAATTGCTACTGAAGGTTCCTTTAAAATCTGTTAAGGCCTTCCGAAGATTATCGCTAAACAGATGGACAACTTTTAAATTATGTATTTGGGCTTAGGCATCGTGCAAATTAATCATATGAAATCTATTTACACATCTATTTTATTTACAATATAATATACATATTACGATACAATATGATATTGATAAGAAATACGAATGAAATAATCTTTGATTGGTGACTTTATTAAATTATACTTATACCAAGCACATTCGAATCGTCAATTCAATTTAAATTTAAACTCAAGTCAGTGTTAGTCACTAGGGGGCCATTCAAGTATTACGTAAGCAGAATTTTACTAATTATTAACCTCTCCATACCCCTTGACAGCAAAAGTAAGCAAAGCTCTTACTCCCACTCATATATTTACGTAAACATTGGTACATATATTTTTTAATCTGTCCAGCTTTTTTTATTGTTATAAGTCTAGAAACAAAGTATTTATAGGCTACTAGCGGATACACGTCTTTAATTTGAAAATTTCAAACTTTTTAATAATTTTTGATGAAAATTATTATTCAAATTGTGAATCTAAACCATTCCCAGATCCCCTTGAACACACACAAAAAATTTCATCAAAATTGGTCCAGTCGTTTAGGAGGAGTTCAGTCACATACACACGCACACAAGAAATATATATATTAAGATATGGAAATTTTGTGTACATTTATTATATTGTGATTGGACGAATCACAATTACTAAATTTTGCAGAAAATCCAAAAAATTAAATAAATAAATATTGCTGACGTAATCACCATCCAGAACCCCCACGTCCCCTATGTCATCAAAAATAAACAAAGCAAAGACTGGTGCTTACGTAATATTCGAACGGTCCCTAGTCAGTCGGTGTGGAAGCTACAAATATTATCGAGTGTAATGTGACGTGCGTGTGCCGTGTCCGCGCAGGCTGTCGCCGTCGGTGATCGTGCGCGAGCGGCGGCTGGCGTCGGCGCGCGCCACCGCCATGAACCCGCCGGCGCCGCGCCGCCGCGCGCCCTCGCCCGCCGCCGCGCGCCAGCTCGCCGTCAACCCGCCGCCGCCCGTGCACCGGCATAAGGTATTCTACATATATTTAATGTGATCAATGATTTTTTTTCACATATTTATTTATATTTTAATTACTAGTTACTAGTTCATTTTAATTCAAGATATTACATCCATATTTGTTAGTAATAAAACAATTTAGCCTTAAATACTATATTGGTGTATAAAACTATTAATTAATTATTTTATTTATTATTAATTTTATATCAAGTTAATTATAATAAATATCTTAATTTAAATAAAAAAATCAAATAATTTAATTTATAGATTAAAAATTTAAATATGCATACTTTGTCAACATTTCGAGTTCTTTGAGTCGCTATATTTGAGTTGGGACGTTATAATAATAATTGCAATAACAATATTGTTTTTTTTAATAATATGAATGATTTATGATTATTTTGTTTAATTATTAAATTATTGGTGATGTTTATTTCGAAAGTATGAAATTTTGTCAATTTCATAGTGTACAAGCCAGTAGGTGCCTATCCTAAAACCGTACGAAATGTTTATGAGGCGTCGCAGGAACACTTACGTATTCATCCTCAATACCCCGTCAACTGGCCTAGAGAGGCAGACCTTCCAAACGACAGGGCGAACTGACCTGCGAACCATATGGGATATATGGAGAGCCGCCCGACCTTGGAGCTAGGGATAATTTTTTTAAAGAAATTATAAAAAAATTAAAATGTGTATAAATTTACTTTATAAGAGTATTTATTTGTTTTTCACCATTGATTAATTTTTATTAGCTAAATAACGTATGCATTTAAAACTTCTCAGGACGAGGTGGATCCGTATGGACGCAACAAAGCCTCCAGTCGCAGCCGAAATAGAAAAAAATATTCCAGATCCTCATCTTCAGGTTCAGGTAAAATCATCCCATTATTAATATTATAAATTGTTATTCAATCACGCTACAACGGCTGACAGGATCTGGATGAAATTAAGCAAAGAGATAGTATTCTGGAATAGCACATGGTTACGTTTTATCCCTGAAAAATGTAAGGTTTCCGTGGGATACCCGTACTCACAGTTAAAATGTAAAAAATATAAATCAAATATCATGAAAATTAATGGTCTAAATTAGTAACCTATATTTATTTTGTTGTTTGAGCTTGTTATAACTAAGAAGTTTATGTCAATTGTCCACCTGTAGTAAATTTTATAATCTAAAAATATTTATTATTAAGGTATATTCTTATCATAATCATGTCAGATTAAAGGCCCGCTGCTGCACATAGACATCGCCAATCGTCTGAAATCGTCTAAAAAGACATCCCCAATAGGGAATATGTGTGATTTATGTTTAACTTTTTATGCAATAGCTTCTATCGTTATATAATTGTAAAATAAATATAATAGAGCTAATATCCACTCGATCTACTACTGTCACTGGCGTCTGCAATATAACATTCGTTACGATATACATTCCTATCGGGGGTAGTTTCGCCATAGAAGTACGGCTAGGTCCTTTCATCCAAATCCGTCCAACCTTCTTAGTCAGAGACAAACGACACACATACATACATACGAATAAACAAACTTTAATATAAGTCATTGTGATTGTGTAACAGAGTCATCGTCCTCATCAAGTGAGTCAGAGAGCGAGTCGCGCTCGTCGTCCTCGTCCGGCAGCTCCGGCGCCCGCCGCGCTCGCCACGCGCGCCTGCTCAACGCGGCGGCTAGACCCAGGTAATATATCTATACAGATAAATAAAATTGAAGTGACTGTTTGTAATGTCAAAATGACAGCGTTTTACTAAATGCATATGAAATTATAAATGATATTTATAAGAAAAACACATCTTTTACATTTTTGTCTGTCTGCTCCGGATAATCTCTAAAACGGCTGGACTGATTTTGACGGGACTTTTACTAGAAGATAACTGATGTTATAGGGAGTAACATAGGCTACTTTTATTTTAGAAAAAGAATCAGGGTTCCGCTCAAAAAAAAATAAAACGTACCTAGGGACGAACCCGAGTAAAGCGATGAGTCGCTAGTCTATTAATATTATAAAGTTAACATTTAATTCTTTCTTAGATTTAACGTGAATATTTGACTTTTTAAATAAAACTATCTTTCTAAAAAATTTCGCGATTTATTTTGATTTTTTGGTTCCCGATGCTTCGAATGCTTATTATTTCTATGTTCAATTAAAAAACTTTAAATATTTAAAATTAACAAATAATGTAAGGTGGTTTGGTACTTTGGTATCATTTTTGTATTTTCGAATTCATTTTGTAATTTTGTGAGTAGGCACTGTCTGTAACAACTATATTATAATGCCTTTGAGATGTCTTTAATCTTAGTCTCCCCTGTGATCATGATTGGTGTAAAGCATTATTATATTATAGTATAAATTTATTAGTAAGTATAAGTAGTTAACAATAAATACATTCAAAAAACTATTTTTATTTTTTAATATTATGTACAATTTCATATCAGTTTTCATATCATTTGTATGTAGGTCCAATGGAACCTAGTTTTAGTAATTAAATAATTAGTGTATAAATCTATATGAAAATGTGTATGAATAAACAGTTTGTATATCTTTAGGATGGGCGCTAAATCAAATTCTGGCTTGGCTGCTGCTGTATCCACTGTTACAAGTAAAAAAGAAGCGTCAAGTGAGAAAGGTAAAAAATTATAAACTCTTCGTATTTTTCATTAACTAAGAAAATGTGGTTTATATTTCTTTAATTTATCAATTAGGTTTTGGAGATATATTTTAAGCTATTGTTTTAAGTTTAAGAGAGTTGATAATGTTAAACATACTAATCTGAAGACCGCACTATGATATAGGCCTCATTGCTTGGTAAAGTATAAGACTATATTCATTAAGATTTCTACAAAGAAACTATTTATTACGTTAAATTACTTATTTTTAATACTGAATCATGTTTAAATTTTAATATTGAGACTTTTCAATTGCTAGAACTAGTAAGTAAGAAAAGATCGGCGACGTCACCGGTGGGTGGCGCCGCACCTGCGAAGAAATCAGTATCAAGACGAGAGGAACTATTGAAACAACTAAAAGCAGTTGAAGACGCGATCGCTAGGAAAAGGTCTAAAATTTAGTATATGACGAAACAAATATTCCATAATACATGCAGTTAAAAGGCACATGTGTACATGCTTCTGTCTCGTAATAGGTTGTTTAAAACCCTCGCGAGTATTGTGTTGCCTCACAGTGACGTAGCACCGGTTTACGCTGTTGATGTCGGGACAATTGTAGCTTATTGTTAGCTTAGGCTTTTAGGGCTGTCAAGTTCATGTTTAAATGTTGCTCTGTATGTAAATCATCTTTATTTTATTATCGACGGACGTAGGTTTTTGTATGGGTGTTAGTTGTCATCACAAACTGAATAAACTAAACCAATCTAGGTTTATGGAAGTAATAATAATTGACATTGTGAGCAAAAATAAAAATACATTATTTTATAATGAATGGCGTTTGCTTTTTATTTTCCTTTATTTCCTGTATCTGCTTAATCCCGCAACGACCGCGGTCACCCCGGTGTTACAGTGAACAATGAATTTCTTAGAAATTTAATTAATTCCTTAGAAATTTACCTGATGGAGTTAAAAGTATAAATAGAAAACAATAAATATAACGCCATAGGGTCAGTGGCATAACCAGTCTTTTTCTATTCATGATATTTTTTTGCGTTTTCACTTTCAAAAAATATATATTCAAATTGGTCCAGTCGTTTTGAGGTTTAGCGGACTATCGAACGGCAATTGATTTTTATATTTATAGATAATACAAATATTATCAGAAAAATAGTTAATGCCTTTTTCAGGAGTTTTTCAACAATTTTATTTATCTTAAGAATAAAAATTCAATCTACGTTCGAACATTTTTTAATCTTATATGATTAGAACATTGTAAATAAAAGATAATCCAGATTGAAGAAGATTTTATTATTCTTATATTAGCTAATCTATATATTCTAGATGTGGTGTTTCTAATAAGAACTTTATTTAAATTCAAATTCAGAAGTTTTACAAGTGAGTTGTAGGCTATATAGCCTGTTCCACAGCTTTTAGATTCAGAGAAGCTAAAGGCACCATGTGTTAGGTATCCCATAATTTCTCTTATAGAAACGTTGCGTACTGATTGTGTATTAGTGGGCAGCCAAAGTTCCCTCATAGTCTTCACATATTCCGATGGCACATTTCCATTATTCTTTTTAGTCTTTATCAGGACCTAAAAATGAATGTTGGTTGGAAAAAATTTAAATTATTTTTGTCGATGGCTGCAATATTGTTTTATGTATATTTATATAAGGAATATATTTCATATTAGCTTTAATAATATTTAATGTTATCGTCAACTTAAAGACGTGATTATAATATAGAAAAAGTAAAAGCCTCAGTAAGAATTCTCTGATTTTCTTTGCAACTTTTGGATTCTTTTTACCCGACTGCGATGAAACAAAAGGAGGGTTATGATTTTGACCGGTATATATTTTGGTTGATTAGTAAATTAGTTTAACTTACACCAGTTGCACTTTTTCGTAATTTTAAACGCCTTTTTCTCATTTGCTTTAACACTTTATTGTGTTCACGCCTTTTCAGTCTTCTTAATTTTTCATTTGGATCTTCATGATGTGGCTCCATTAGTTTTTGATTAGAGGAGATATCTTTTATTTGCGGCATGCAAATCATGGCGTGTTTAGTTAAATGACCTTTGCCTATTACTTGTAAATAAATGGGAACTAAACAATAATCTGAGTTTTCTATTTCTGATAATTTCGCCTTTTTATTAATACAATCCTAAAAAGATAAATATTATTAGGAGATGGATAGTATTGGACTTCAAACTTGTATGATGTATAGATACGATCACCAGCACGGTTCTTGAGCGTTGTAAATATGGTATATATTGGTAAACTGGAGACGAATGGACATTATTCAGATTTTGTATATTATAATAAGATTATAAAGTTTTTTTTATACAGTTATTATAATAAAATTCGCGATCGAACACGTAAGATGATCCTGACTCCAAAGTCAAAAACGCAAAACTCGTGCTGGCTTGTAATAATGTAACAAACCTCCAACATATTCAATATATTCCTATCACGTAAAACAAACATTTTATCATCTTTAGTTTTTCCCCAATCTTTTAGTAAAATCCTCCATGGACATAAAAAGGGATTTGAAACAGCAAGTTTTATATAATTGACCCTTTTACTGGGCGGTTTTTTGAAATATTTTTCTTTCATCTCTATTTCCAATCTGTTTTCCTCTTGTCTGCCTGCTTCGGAGTCGGGCGGTAAATAATTTTCACCCATCTCAAAAGCTAAGCTTTCTGTTTCGCGAAGCCCTCCAGATCTTGCACCAAACATAATTAATGTTAACCATAATGGCAGACCATAGCCAGATGGACTAATTATGTCCCATCCACTACCGTATCCTTAAATAATAATAATAAAAACATACAATTTGCAAAAAAGCTTACAGCAAAACTAATAACTTGAAAGTCCCATAAATAATATAAATGCGAAAGTTTGGATGGATGAAATTTGGCACAGAGATAGATTACAGTCTGGAATTGCACATAGGTTTTTTTCCCGGGAAAATGTACAGTTCCCGTGGAATAGATTTGTTTTTTTTTTCACAGAGCAATGGATTGATGATCTATTTCATACTATTAAAACGTAGGTACGTAGTGACGAACCCGAGCAAAGCGAGGGTGTCGCTAGTATTAACTATACTCAAATATGTGTGTCAATTTTCATAGTGATCAGTTGAAATTATCTTCTATACTATAATAAAGCAGTAACTTAGCTAAATCTTTACATGAAATATTATTTAAAAACAATGACTGTAACATATTATGTACACAATATAGATAACAAAACAATAGTTATTAAAAATTTTGTCTGTTTGTGTGTTTGAGTTTCACGCAAAAAGTAGTGAACCGATTTCAACAAAATTTGGTGAAGTGATAACTTATTACTCAGGTCAACATTTAGGATACGTTTTACTTCAGGAAAATCTTTCTTTTCCACGAGAAAATACAATAACTAGTTTTATTGAGTCATCTTGTTTTGTATTGTTAAAATAAAGTATATGAATATAAGTATTATTACAGTCAAAACCTCAGACGAATAATAAAAAAGTATAGACAGAGCATTGCGCACAAAAAGTGATGCAGGTAATATGAAGACGATTCAGCCATATGAAGAAAGCCAAAACTTTGCATCACTTATTTCGTCGCGTTTGTTTACAACGGCTCCGTCTATACTTTTTTATTGGTCTGAGGTCAAAACTCTTAAATGGCTAAAACTAGTTTTAACTTAAAATATTGGTCAATAGCAATTTTGACAGAAAAATATCAGCTATAAGTAGTTTTCTTCAGTCGTTAATTACATTATAACAGTTAGTACCATTTAGGCTTTCTTGATCTTTATAGTAAGGTGATTATTCAGAAATGTTCACTGGAACAATTTATGTAACTTTTAAACTACAAATAACATTCAAACAAACACAAAATACAAATCTATCAATTTTTTGCAGATCAAAACACAAAAAAATTTTGACCATTTAAGTGTTCAGTGTATGGAAAAAGAAATAAAGTCAATTATTTAAATACATACCCACTTTTTTATATTCAGAATTTTGAGAACCAGGTCTTTGTATTAAGAGAATAGGAATACTTTGTAGCGCAGGATCATTCTCATTTATTTCTCCTGGTACCAACTGTGTTTTAGTAATATGTTGAATGAACTGAGAATTAGTAACCTTTTTATTTTTGATAATATCACGAATTGATGTATTCCATATTGGAGATACACATGAATAAGCTGGTATGTATATTAATGATTCAGGTTTAACAATTGAGTCAAAATTAGTTTCAGCTTTAGTTCTTTTGATAGGTCGACTCCAACGGGGATCTTTTATGACCAAACCTATTACTAGTCTTGATGGTACCTGGGATGGAGAACTCAATGACTTTAAACTGTTCCAATATTCATGCTTTTCTTTTAAAAATAGTTCATTTTTTGACTTTAATACTTCATGCACCCAATCATTGCACTGTATTTTTTCTATGTTCTCTACACATTTAAGAGCTTCGACTAATACAGCATGACTTCTAGGACCAGTTAAGCGAAATCTATTAAATGCTCCTACCATTACATTTAATTTTATATCTGAAAATTTGGTCATAATTTTCCTTTTTTTGACAATAGAATTTTCTTTGTTTTCATAATTTAAAATGTTACTAGCTGATTTGTTTATTAAATTATTCAAAACATTTTCTACCAATTTTGCTTGAGATGGATGTACAAATAACCATATTTCCTTGGTTACATTATCTGAGTGTATCCATAAATATTGAACTCTACCAATGAACTGAAATGGATATGAATCGGGCATGTATAAATTTATGGACCCTTCCCTGTTACCATTAAGGTAAGCTTTGGCACCAATACTAAGATCACAGAATCTGCTAGTTATGTTTTTAAATAATTCTATAATTATTTCAAATGAGCCCTGTATTTTAATAGGTGTATAATAAGATATATCTTGTAGAAGACAATGAGCTGAGGTAGCACGGTAGCAAGCTCTAAAGGCTTTGTCGCATGGTCTGTAGGGTAAACGGTGTCCCCAGCGTTCAACCATGTGAAATCTTTTAGCATGCCAAATATGAGTTTCTAACCAAACATTTCTTTTTTGGCGTCTATTATATTCTTCTAAAAGATTAGTTGGACGTCGCCTATGTTTGCGAGATGGACGTTTTTGCTTTGGTGGTAGACCACTCTTTATAAGTTGCTCCAAGTGTCCCTCTCTTAATCGTCTTGGTAAACGTTTGCAATTGTGGCTCATTACTCTACGCCGCATATGTACGGGTAAAGTTTGAAATATGAGCTTAGTTTTACTAGGTCGTAAAATACTTTCGGTCATTGCAGCAATTTCAATACTTCTGGACGCTGCAAATTTCAAACTATTTGCAGAATGTGGTAAGTGTTCAGTCCCACCTAAAGCAGCATCAAACTCCACTGATTCCATTTTCAAATTATGCAAATTTATTACTTGTTACAAAATTTATTTAAACTAATATTATAATATTATGTAAATGTGTTCAAATTATAACCTATCACAACAAATAACCTACAATACATTTGTTGTTACTTGTTAATGTCAAGTGTCAACAACTCTCAAGTCTAATTGTCATTTGTCACTTGTCAGATGAATAATCGACATATTACCAACATTAAATAACAGAAACCATAAATGAATGAAAAAAAATATATACTTATCCAATACTAGCGAGTAGCGACTTCCCGTCTTCGCTCGGGTGCATCACTAGGTGTGAATAATTCCGTAATACATTTGTATAAAACAAAACAAACAATTAATAATCATTACCTTCGATAAAATTCACTCAACCAAAATAATATATAATTACAAAAAACCTATTTACAACAATTAATTTTAAAATAAGTATCTACCTATCGTTGTAATTTGTAACCAACAACGATCAACAGCGTTGACACGCTAGGACTCTTCGCCCCATCCGCCACTTCCTTCCCGTTCTTCGTTATTGTGAGTCTATTCTTAAAGATAGACTTATTATGCTATCTTGGACTTTTTTGTTGTAATTTTAATTTTTTTCTATAATTTATTAGAACATTTCGTGGGGCTGTCTAGAAAAGTTTACGCGACGCACGCCAATAAAGCTCCCAATCGGTATGATATTTTTCGAAATCTTCAACAATCATCGTCATATTTCAGCTTATTTAGACAAAACCTTAATGAATTATATCTACACCTAAACCTTCCTTATGAATCACTCCGTCCATTGGTGAAAACCATACGAAAATCTGTTCGGTAGTTTTTGAGTTTATCGCGTTCAGACAGACAGATGAGGTGGGGGACTTTGTTTTGTAATAAATGTATAGACAAACGTAGTAGTTGTGGTGAAGATAAGATTTCCCTAGTGGCTGTTTTTGGAACTGAAGTAAGCGTACAGCATCACTTTCATAGCAGAAACTAAATTATCTTGGTATACTTTGATCTCCACTTTTGATTAAATAGTACGTACTACGTAGTAAGTAGTAGTTTGGTTAAGTAGTAGACTATTGATAGAAGTTTATTTTGTGACTTCTTGGGAGGGGTGTGTTCACCGTCAACAGCATAGTCACTATAAAAAGAATCAGAAAAATTAGTTCATAATAAGCTGAGATATATAGGTATATCGGGTATTAAGTATTTAATTTACAAAATATTTAGTTTAAATCGTGAAAATTCATCTAAGTAGGTATATGAACTATCCCACCCTATGGAAGGCACTCACGACATCCCTTGATCTGTTGGTCTTTTTAGTAAGTGTACGTATGTGTTCGAATGTACATATACGTCCCACAGTTTGTATTCAACTTTTAAGTTCGCTTTTTACGCAGTCGGGTTTTTATAAAAAAAATGCTGTAAATAATTACAATAATAAATAAGTAATTCAATACATAAGTTTTTGTCATCGTCTCATAAAAACCTTATTGTTGATACCCCACTCGATAGGTTTGGAAGAAAGTGTTTTTTCAAGGTACAAATTTTATCACCAGATTTTTAACAATTTCCAGGATATATTATGGATAATACTTCGATGCGTTATCAAGATATATCTAATGATATGCATTGTTCTTATGAAAATTCGAAAAACATAACACTCCCTTTGGGCTTCACAACAGCCGGGTAAAAATGACGAATGTCTAACCCTTTTAGGAGGGATATATAGAAGGTGATCCTCTTAGATCTTAACGGAAGTATTAGTGAACCTGGAATATATAGCGTACTAGCATTGTCCGCGGCTCCGCCCGCGTTCAGATGACCAAAAACCAAATTCTTAGGCTTTACATATTAGTTATACACAGGCGCGGATCCAGAGTTAAATTTTGGGGGGAGTCATAGGCTGAAATATACATATAATAAAACAGTAACTTGGCAAAATCTGACCACCAGGCGCGGATCTAATTTTCTCTTTGGGTTGGGGGTTGTAAGGCTTTAATACTTTAGCAGGTATATAAGGAACAAAAAACGTTGAAAAATAGGTTTTTTTAATTTCTGGCTTGTTGTGACATCTTATCGAAAAATATTCTTTATATAAATTTCATCAAAATCTGTCCAGTGGTTTTCTCGTGATGCGGTAACAGACAGACAGTCAGAGAAAAATTCCAAAAACTATAGATTCGGCCTCTGTATCGATAATAATGTCTATTTCAATTAGATTTTCCAAAAAATGTTTAATGTACAGATTCGACTTAGTTACAATTTTATTATAATTCGTTGGCTCCTTATTACAAGGTTCTATGTTACAATTTTAGTACTTATTTAGTTAATAATGCTGCAAGGTTCTATGTGTCATTAGCTACAGTTTTGCAGAAACAAACCACTAGATAGCGGCACTATAACTACAAAATATTAAATATTACATAGTTCTATGTTTTTTTTTATACGGTAACTTCCAACTTCTCTAACTTCAAACTTCTCTAAAAAGTATATTCGGCTTTGGGGGGACAGACAGACAGACAAAAATTCTAATAACTATAGATTCGGACTCTATCGATAATAGCGTCTATTTCAATTAGATTTTCCAAAAATATTGAATGTACAGATTCGACTTTGTTACAATTTTATTATACCTATGTATAGATTAAAGCGAAAGAAAGGATAAATATCGCGTATCTCGAATCGTATCGCGAAAAAATATAGCTCGCACTGGCTATACCTCATGTAGGTGTGGAAATAAAAAAAACCGGTAGAATTTAATAAGTAAATATTTTATTCTGTTGCGAGAAGTTTCAAATTGTTCACAAACAGATTGTGTGGATATAGTTGTTTTGTGTGGAGATTGTTGTTCAAAACAGATTTTTCATGTGGATGTTTATTGAATAAAAACGTTTAAATAAATAAAATAGAGGGAAAAAAGTATTAATTTTGATTAAAATTTAATGAACGGGCTTTCTCATTAGTATCTAATAATAATAGGTGTGCAAAACTAAAATTGTAATAAGAAAACTTTTTTATTTCATTATCTATCGAAACAATTAAAATTAAATTGACACGTTTAATTAACTGAAATAACTCAATAAGCTGCCCATTTATTCATATATCTAATAATAATATCCATTGTATTCATAAATCATATACAAAACTCCAATCTGACTATTTAATGAGTATTATATAAACTTATTCATATTTTATTCAAGAACACGAATACGCACATACTGAAAGAGCTTATTAGTAGCCTGTAGTAGATTTCTGATAAGAGGTTTCAATATTAACCTCCTCGCTTCAATATCGTCTAAAAGGTACCAAATTATTGGACTATAATGGTTAATATGTAAGTACTTGTGTATTATCCATTATAGTACAATAATATGTATTATGGATACTCGTATATTTTCAAGTTAATACGATATCTATATTTTCTAGATAAAAAATATACCTACTTACTATTTTTAGTGTTCGTATTCGTATTTTAACAGAAAATTTTGTGGGTGATCTCAGGCCCTTCAAATACAAATAATACAATAGAATATGATTTAAACTATACTACCTACTAATATTAGTTCAGTTCTTTCCAAGAAAATGCTGAACACAAAAAATACACACGTCGAACATAGAAGGTATTTCTTTGTTAAGTCGATTAAAATAGACAATAGTGCATTCCAATATATTCCAAGAGCTTCCGGGCAATATGACAATGTGCCAATTCAAGGGCTGATGGCCGGCCGTCTCATAGTTATCAGTTAAATCACACTTTGTTTCCATCTTTGAAAATATTTATAAGAAAAAAGATATTTCATAAAACTTTTTTGCTAAAGGCCAAAATTATATCTAACGTGTTTTAATTTTATACATATTTTAACAGAAGTTCCATCCTCATTAGGGTGCAATAAAATCCCCCCCAACGTGCGTTCACCTTGTCGTGGTGGGGGGGCTCAGTAGTGCCCGGCAATCCAACCGGGCGCGAAGCCAAGAAACGCACAGGGAGGTTGCCCACTTCGGTGGGCGGTGGGAGGTGGCCCTCTTCGGGGGGCGGTGTACCATGCGGGTTGCTCCTGGTACTTCTCTGATAGCAGAGTGGACTGTGGAGCAACCCCATGGTTGTGGTGGTCTGCTTCGGCGGACCTGCCGTCGGGGCGTCGTAGTTGAATGCGTAAGCGATCCTGCGACGCCCCATTAAGACGGGGGAAGGTTTTGTTGGGTTTTAGTGGGTAGTACTGGCTGTATTACGCCGATGAGTCCCGCACGTCGTGCGTAAATGCATTTCCCAACGTTCAAAAAAAAAGGGTGCAACAAAAGAAATCATATGATTATTAGTACTGTAAATGCCATTTTTTACCAACCTTTGACCAAATGAAGTACGCGAAAACCGAAAATATTCTCGGTACTCAGTCAAGTTACGTTACAGCGTGAGTTACAAAAAAATGGATAGCATAATATGAACCTTATTTTTGTAGAACCTGTTATGTATCAACGAACATTTTTATTTTTATTTATATAAATTGGGATATGTCGTTCTTTAAGTTGTTTCTGAGTATATGATTACAAACTCCTGCTTACGCTCTCGAGGCTCGGTTACGCCAATATAGTTATTGGGACTGCAGACTGCTACATATCATTCATTATATTACTACCTACTCACCCTAGATTCGCTCAGGTTCGTCCCTAGGTACGTTTTGACGCTTAGTAGGTATGGAATAGATATATTTTTCAATTTTTTTTTCGTGAATTTTTCCGATGTTTAAATAGTTATTCTGCTATTCGGGGTGAAGAAAAGTCCAACAAAAAAAATATCATAAATCTGCCTAGAAGTTCTCGAGTTATAAGTGTTGTAATAAACCCGACTTTGTTTTAATTATATAGTTTTAACTAGCATTGCCCGCGGCTCCGCCCGCATGGCAAAAAACCAAACTCTTAGGTTTTACATATTAGTAACCAAATTCTTAGGTTTTACATATTAGTATACTCTTACATTGGAGTTTTTGTATTTTTTCTCAGATATG